TATTTAAATTATTACAAACAGTTTTTGTGCAATGTTTAACTCTTGGACAAACGAAACAGTGCTTATGTAATGGTCGAACTAGACGATTATATTATATTAATAGTTTGACTATAAACCACATCATCGCTAATTTAGTATCAATAAACCGATTTTTTTTTCGATTAAAGTTTGCAAAAGAGATGCTTCCAACAAGATATGTACCAAAGTTTCCATTCAGCCATCTAATTTGCAAGTCTCCCTCTCTGCGCTTTCTTTCTGTTTCCGAAACTCAAATCTTTAAGACGAAGAATTGTATTTTAATGTTTGATCTTGATCAGAAATTATTAGTAAAATTCTAAATTATTGCTTGAAATCAACTTTGCCTCTTTCAAAGTACTCCCTGTCTACTGGAAGCCACTTATGCTATCCATTGATCTAATATTTAAATTAGATATAATATTTAAGTTCGATACTGATGTCTTCTGCCACATTTCTACGATGTACACTTTTTTCGGTCATACATTTTTGACATCGATAGTCTAACAGTGCCGTCGCTGTATAGGATGGGCGCATATGTATATAATAACGTTAACGACACACATACACGTATACGTTTATTTTCGAGAGAAACACTTCTCTAATATTGCAAGAGACTTTGCCCCACGCAATGTAATTTTAACACAAAATGTTATGCAAATGTTGATGTATACCTGATTTCCACATGGGAATCAAACACTGATATCCAAACCTTTTTACAAATAAAAATTTCGTTTTATATTTAACTTTCATTTGGCAAGTTCAAGAATTCAACACACAACGGTGCTTTCAATGCGTGTAGCGAAAGTTTACGCTCGTTTGATGGCAACAAAGGAAGCATTTTGTTGACAAAGCAAATTTTATTTTAAGACAAAAAAAAATATAAAAATGAGAAATAAGTAGAAAGTTACAAGACATTAGCTTAACATTCTTTTTTCTTAATTTTTTGCTTTTGTTTTTTGGCTAAGCAGACAATTGGGAAGCAGAATTTCTCGGCTTCAATTTTCAAGTGTTGTCTTTGTTTTTGTGTTGCTGCGGAGTAACGTTGCTTTCACTTCAAGGATTGTGTACGTATTTTTATAATAAAAGCAGTTAGTTTTCGTGCAAATATTTAAGCTTGCACATTTACAGCAAGTGGGTAAAGAAATGGGAACAGCCAACCAAATATGGTTGGAAATAGTATAAAAAGACGTTTTATATCGAATATTTAAATTATTCCAAAAATACTTATCTTACAAAGGTTTAATGAAATTTTCACAGGAAAATATTTAAAATTCGGACATTGCGATGCTATTTCCGGCAGACTTTCGGAAAAATGGTGCCTCCATAAACTACATAGATATTGGACGAAGGAAAAACCACAAACTGAAGATTGAAGAAAAAAATTCTTCGTTCAAGACCTTGTAATTATAACTCGAAAATCTGTGTAAAATTTCTTTTAAATCAATTGAGTAGGTCGCGAGAAATTTTGACAACCGAAATTAGAGTTTCGAGAAAAGCGCGTTTAAAGTTTTAAGTGACTTTATAACTGACCTCAAGCGCGCAACTTTTCAAAGCTGTATCTCAAAAACAAATTACTCGAATCAACTTTTTAAAATTTAGGACAATATTCTAGAGATGTTATAGATTAAAATAAGATTTTTTTTTGAATTTGAAAATTTTTTTTGAAGCTTTATTTCCTTCATCACCGCAGTTTTCTAATACTCATCTTGGCGTACTTTGTTAAGATTAAATGACAGATGTGTATTTCGAAGCATAATTCTACAGACTTCTAAAAATATCTATAAAGAACATTCATTTTTATCAAGTTCGTTTACTTGTCGAAAAAATTGGAGATTTGGAGTGAAAACCCGAAGCCGAGACGCTATAAAATATATATGTAACATCGGCATGACGAGCTTAGTTGATTTCGTTATGTACATCTGTATATATGCGAAATAGTCTCTTAGTTTTTGAGATATCGACCAGAAATTTTGCCTTTCCTCATGAAGAAGCTGCTAATTTGTCGGAACCGTCGATATCGAATAACTTAATTTAGATTAGGTTAGACCGAAGTGGATGTCGCAGCATAACTCACTACTCACAGACGTGCTAATAGGTCAAGCCCATACAGCTTCATACTGGAGCTACTTTTACCTGCCTTTAGCATAAAGCCATTTTCAAAATTTAAAAATATATAATTTAATATATCTGATGTCGGCTATTTAGATAACGTATAAGATATTGGAAACCGCTTCATATATTATTTTGCAAAAATCAGCCTCGCTCATTCAAACTTGTGTGCTTTCTTGAAAAAAAGTCCTCTAAAAACACTTTTAGTTTTTTGATATTTTGTAGTATATATTTGAGTCATTACATCGTAATTTTTCACACAACTGTCAGGCAATAGTATTGTTCCATCATATTTTATTAAAAATATTCTTCTTATTTTTTTAAGACAATGAAAATTTTTTATTAATAAAATATAAAATAATATAGCCATATATTAATATTATTAAATAATGTTTCTAATTTGTTGACTGTATACTCACCGCTTACGGTGCTTTGTTTTGAACGCAACTTTTTACTTCTCCCCGCGCTTTTTTTGAGCAAACTGGGTCAAGTGCATTGGCTTTCCCCTCAGGAACTGCACTCGAATGGAAGTTTGCCTTAACTTTCGTCTTCATCGCTTTAAAGCTTACAAAGTGAAAAGCGAAATAAGCGCATTTGGGACATTCTTATACACACATAATACATTTGATGCACGCACACATACACATAGAACATGCCAGGATACTGCTCAAAATGTTGCGCAAAGCTGCTAAAAATAACAGTTAAAATGTTAGATGAACGCGATAGAAATGCATTGAAATTAATGATCTGTGTGGAATATTTTCAACTGACTTATTTTTGATAGCTTAGTAAAACTTTTGTTTTACTCAAAATATGCACATGTGTACAATATATTTGCATATGCGTGTGTACATACGAGTAATGTATATGAGATAGCTGGAGAACTGGTTACACTTTGCACAATAAATAATTGTTGTAGCAGGGCACGTTGAGCGCATGACTACCGGTGGCTTAGGATTCCAAACTGCACCAGCAGCAAGGCTTTACTACACATTATAATGAGTAATGAATATTCGTGGACGTGACAAGATATACGTAAAATATTTTATAACTAATTTTTGAGAAAGTTTTTCTTTTAAAATTTCATGGAATGTTCTTCCACAAACCATAAGTCATACACACATTATTGTTGCTACTCTTAAGCTTAGAGCATAAGTAATTTTATATAAAATCACATCAGATTACACTTTTATTGAATTTGTTTAGAAGTTGTTCCATATGGACGCTTTTGGGTTACTTTGTTTAACTAACGTTTGTTTGTAAGGTAAATGATATAAGATATAAATATAGGTCAGAACTATTATTGAGAAATAGTAAAATCAATTCAAACTCTTTCTCTCTTATATACCACCACATATAATGACATATGTACGTAACTACATGGACTTGATTTTGAGCGATCAGTTTGTATGGCAGCTATATCTTAAAGTGGTCCGATATCGGCGCTTCCGACAAATAAGCAGCTTCTTAGTGAGAAAAGGACGAGAGCAAATTCTCAGATTAAAATCTTAAAAACAGACAGACGGACGGACTTCGTGGCAAAATAAATAATATAACCTGCTTAGGGTACAAAAATTGGTTTAATGGTATAGATTTGATATAGACAGCTTTTCGGTAAAATATTTCAAGGTTTTACAAAAATTTTAGTATAGTACCTACAGGAGGTTAGATTTACCCTAAGTGGTGAGCATACAGTCAGCAAATTGGAAACATTGCTTAATAATAATGATATATGGGTATATTATTTCATATTGTGTTGATACAATATTTGTTGTTTTTAAAAGAATTAGGGTACCATTCAGACTCAACTTGGATGAACTATACCACAAGTGCATACTGCCTGAGGATTGTTGATCAAATTTCCTTTTAATGTTTCAAATTTATATCAGAATATATGCAAAAGATAAAAAAAAATGTTCAGAGGACTATTTTTTTTTTCAAGCGAGGCTGGTTTCTTTATACGAAAATATGAAGCGGTTTCATACACATAATACGCGAACTAAATGTGTCTACAGCGCAAGATTTAAATTTGCCGCCATTTACATGTGGACAATACTTTTTTATAAATGAGGCTGTTCAAGCAGTGACTGTTGCTGGTTTAGGCAGAATAGTCATAGAAAATTTCGTCAAAATAGTACATATGTGTATAGAAGGCCGTAGTGGCCATTTGCCCGATGTGTTATTTCATAAATAACACTATCCTATATATATAATGATACAATAAAAAAATTGCAATCGATAGACTAAAAACTGTGTTTTCTATTTAATTCTAATCTTGCGTTCATTTTAGGACACATTTTAATAGGCGATAGCAGCTATTCAAGTTATATATTTGTTAGCTAAAAGGATTGACCTATGTAAAATTTTAAGTGTGTGCTACCTGATGCTGAAACAATCTGTACAACAGAATCGCAATCGAGGTTGTATTTTTTCTTGCCGCACGCTGAATGTTGATTCTCATACTATTTCGAAAAGATTCGTGTATCGTTATCATTTGTAATGCATATATATAGCACAATATTCTAACGTACTGATTTCACACAGAAATCTTTGTTATCAGAGATATCACACTAAAATAGAATTACCATCTTTTATTGCCAAATATTTCTCTTCCGTTTTGGTAAATTCACTGGTAACCTGAAATATTTAAAATTAAATAGGAAATATATTCAAATGTCGGTTCATCTCAAGTCTTCAATTATTTTGACAAAAAATGTATTTTAACAAAGAATAAAGGCCTACATAATCATACTACTTGTATATAATATTTTATAAACGATTTTTGTGAGAATATAAATTTTACTCTATATATCCAATCTTTAACTCAGTGAATCTTTCTAATTTTCTTATTATTATTTTCTCTTATTTTTCAGGGTCTCTTTGTTGCCACACTCTTCTGCTTTTTCAACGGCGAAGTTATTGCGCAAGTGAAGCGCCGCTGGCGTACGGCCTGGTTTAGCAACAGAGCGCGTGCAAATTCCTACACTGCAACCCAGGTCTCGGTAAGATTTTGTTGGTTTTGCATATGTTTGCGCTAAATTCTAGTTGTATATACTTACGAAGCTTTATGTAATTTGTATTTGTAAATTACGTGTTATTGTTGTAAATAATGTAATTGTGTATGTGTGTAAAATGTGTCATAATTACAATTATTTTTACTGCATTTATTTTTAATGTAATTAGCTTGAGCTTATATGTTCTCTAATATTCCTCATATATGTTTAATAATATATTAAGTAGTAAAATGTTCCTGTAATAAAAAAAATATTTACTTTCGCAACAAATAACTATATTTTCCATGTTTTTCTAATATTTTCTGTTTAAAAATGTATATGTGTACATTTTTCGAACCCCATCCTGGATTCCTTTTGTCTTTCAGAACAAAAAATGTTTGCTTTGATCTTTTACGCTAATTACATTCCTTTCTGTGCAAATGGTTTCTGGTCTTGCATGTCGTATGAGCAACATTAATTTAGCCGTTAGCCACATATGGGATGTGTTGGTAGCACATGTCGTATGAGTAACCTGGTAACTAATAAGAATACTCGTGGCCATAAAGTGTTATTGTGTTGCATTTGCTAACGAAAAATAACTCGACATATATTGAGCACGGAGAAGCTTATATAGTTTTTATATTGTAGCGAAGTTCCATGAATTCATTTGAATATAAAACTAAATACAAGGTTGCTAATATAACAACTTGAATTTCCTAAGCTACTTAATAAAAAATATTATAATGATTTAGTAGAGACTATCAAACCTGCCAAACGACTATTTCTATGTTCAATTAGGTTAAGTGACGCGGTAAAAAAAATTGCGGTTTAGGGCGCTTTAATTACAACCCCTTCGTGTTGGGCTTTTTAATATTACTCTGCAAAAATAAGTAATATTAATTTTGGAAACAGGCGTTTGTATATACCATCTATAAAGTACCTTCTTGGCAAAAATTATCTGCGAACTTGTTTATTTCTTTTTTTTAAGATGGATAGGGGCTGAATCCTAGTGTGTTGAACGTTGTACAGTTTGTATATATTTCAGTGTGTTGTTTGCGATAAGTAGCCTGAAATCTGCCTTAAGATGCTAATATAAGAGAACAGAAATAAAGAAGAAAACATAGGTTTCACTTTTAGAATTCAAAGAATTTTCTAATATCTGAAACATCTAATTTTAGGTTCCTAATGCGAATTTTCATATACTTGTTTCGAATATTCTTAAGCAAATTCCAAGCTTTGTACTTCTTACCTTATAACCGGATTTTTTAGCATATATTATTATGCTTTTAGGTACTCTACATATTGTTTTGGAGTATTATTGATTTTGGTCAAAATCCGGGAATTAAAAAAAGGAGTTTATAAGTTCTTTAAAAAGTGATTGTCTCTAATATTTTGCCACATAAGCACGTATGTATGTTACATTATTTAACGTAACTGTGTTCTTTGCTATCTTGTATGGTGGTTATTGATGTTTGTATATGGTTGTTGCTACAAAACTAGATACTTACAGTTCAAGAGACTATTTTCAATCCAAAAAAGTTCAAAAAAAATGGAGATATTTTTCTATTGTGAATAAAATAAATTGTTACGAATTCTGTAAGGCTATTAGCGCGACTATAGTAGTCTCTAGGCAACCATGTACCTATATTTACGTTATGCATGGCTATCGGTTACCAATCGTAAGCAAATAAATAGCTAGTCATATTGGCTTAAAATCACCAATACTAATCAGCTTGTAAGACTGACATTTAATACGCAGTTATCGAGTATTTTCACGACGAAAGTTTAACTTTATTCAAATGTATTATACTTGTATATCAAAATTTTTAATTTCAGTAAACGAAAAGCTTCCTTTCAATAATTCTTGCACAGATTCGAGCAATGCTACCATATGTTTTTAAAATTACTATGGTACTTAAAAATTTAAACTGAGGGTTGTTTTTGAGCATACTGATAGCAGTAGCCATACAAAATCCTGTTATAGGGGTCAGAGCGAGTAGACCGGCAACTATACACCAGTGGCCTGACGCAATTGGGGTATTAAACTAAGAAAATGTAAAAGATAGTAAATTTTGGTTTATAGCAGTGGTATGATACCTAGATGTGTTAAGGAGCTTCAATTGACCTAACCTTGGAATTATGACATACTTAAATATACTACTTTACTATATTGCCACCATTGGCAATATCTTTGACCATGTTATTGCCGTTTAAGAGTGAGATTGAGACTGATTTTGAATTTCAGGATCCCTTTAATAAATTTCTGTAAATAAAATTGTAATAAGTAATTCTAATTGTTGCTGTACATTAAAACCCCTTCAAGTGTTGTATTTTCGTTTTGCTTGTTATTGTCGTATCACCGCACTCTATCATCTCGTACATAACTAGCCAATTAGTAAAAACAAAAAAAAAGCAAAAACCTTAGCCAAAAGTTACTACTGCTATCCACTTTCCAATGTGTTTCGTTTCTTCTCTTTTCTTTCCACACATCTATGTATAAACGTAAAATACATCGTATTGTAACCATGAAACAATCCAAATCACCAATAAAAAAACCAATCCAAATAAAAACTCCTTAAAAAACACGCAATTATTTCAAACTGCAGTTCTTCTGATTATAGTTCGTGCGATGTGGCCCGCCCTTGCCCGGCGAAGAGAAGGTATGACTAAAGAGCTTGTCGTCGACGAAATCGCGTCGCGCTTCCAGCGCCGTCACCGGACGCGGCAGCGATGCACCAACCGCTGCCGGCAGCAGTAAAAGCGCCACACGCATGCGCAGCAACAGCAGCGCACCCGCCACTCAAAAGTCCCATGCAAATGCAACAGCGACGCCCGGTCTAATGGGAAGGTTTCAATTTCTGCGACGAAAAACCGTCGATCAGCTGCGCATACGGCAGCCGCTAATGGAGGAGGGCGGTTGTGCTGGCGATGGCGGCGCGGAGGCGTGCAACTGGAATAGTCATAGAAAAAATGCGACCGAAAATGTGACGGCGTTAGCTGAAAACGCCACTACAGCAGCAACAACAACAACAACGGAAGCAGCGAACAACAGTGTACTAGCAGCGGCGACAACAACGAGTAATTACTACAACAACAATAGCAACAATCGAAACAGCAGCAGCGGCAGTTATAGCATCGACGGCAGCAGCGCGGAGGGCAGCAATCGCGCTGGCGGCATTTTACTTGTCACCACCACAGCTGTGCACACGAATCCCAACACATGCACATACAACAATAATTTGCATTTGGATGGCAACAAAATCGCCGACGAGGCATTGTAAGCGCATTAAAATGCCACCAAATACGAAGCGCCGTTGAGTTGAAGCGCGATGTGACATGTGGCATGTGACTTGTTGCGGTTGGAGGTGACTTGGCTGTATATGTGTATGTATAAGGTTTTAGTGTCAGCATAGTTGTAAGTAATTGTAGTTAACATGTGATTAACTGGTACTACAACAGTTGATATATTTATTGCAAATTTGCACTGTGTATGTGTGTGTGTCAGCCATTTAGTGGTAAATTGCAAATAGGCTATGCTAACAACTATGCATATTTGTTCAGTTAACTGTGAATTATGTATAATTTTTCGATTAGTTGTAAGTTGAAAATGTGAATGTCCAGAGGAGTAGTTAATTATCGCTTGGCCTTTTAATGTTTTAGTACAAATATAATTTCTTTAAGCCTTTCATATACAAAGAATAGTGAATTTGTTGAATACATATGTATGCTATGCTAACTCACAACACATTGTGCAATATTATTGATTACAAAATGTGTTAGATAATTTTTAGAATTTTATTCGCTTCTAAGTTAAACTAATTTGTAATGTATCATTAACGGTTGTTTATAGCACTAAGCAACAATATGTGACGAATCGATAGCATGATATTTCCATATGAACACTTTTTAGTCTGCTAATAACCAGGCAACACTTCACGTAACGACATTCTTTGACGTTACCGCAAAGTGTGTTGTATCTTTTGCCCTTTGTAGAAAAAAATTACAAATCAGATCACAATCACACTATCTACCTATTATATAACCACAAATTGAATTAGAACAGCTTTTTACTGGTGCCTAAGTGCCACCCTCTCGTACCCATGGCTTCTAACTAACTTGGTTTCGCTAAGAAGACCCAGGCAGTCCACGTTAAACAGCATTAGCGCTTGCGATTGAGATTCCTCAAAGTCTCTAATCTTATTACCCGCCAGTTGTGCGCAGGTAGTAAAGAATTTCAATACCTAATTATTATCTTAATATATACAGCGAAGAAGGGATGTGTCCCCTTGTCCACGACCTCAAATCTGACTGCTTTTCTCCATCCAAAAGACTGGTTCTTTAAAAGGGACTAACGATCGTTCATGCAAAAATAAGCGCCGCCAACCGCTCTAATTCCTATCGAGATATGGCACCATCCGAACTCTGTGGCCTATTAAGCTTTCAAAAGGGACGAAAGCAGTTGCGGCCTAAACCCGTCAGTCTTTGCTGTTGGGTATCAGCCCATCATATTCAGGTGGCGGGATGCTGTAGCTACCAGCTTAGGGTTCAAGCGAATTTGACTGCAGTAGTTGAAAACCGTAAAGGCCGCAGGTAATTTAGCGCTACCCGAGATGCTCGGAGCGTTATCCACTCGGAATCGATCCGCACTACATTTGATTATTAGGGTTTGAGGTGGCTTGGAAACTGATTAAACTTTCCTTGTTGCTATTTGGAGTAATAATCGTAAAACGATCTTCGTCATTCCGCCTTATCTTCTATACATAGATCCGAAAGTTAAGTGAGCATTTATTATTATATGATACCAAGTATGGAATGACCGAGTTTCCAGGGTAAATAGCCAATTACATATAAATCTTTGATTTTATAACTATACGAAGTCAGCCATAAGCACCTCCTGACCATGAATATACTAATTACCGTCGAATCAGTCGTCGTAAGATATATGAATATTCACCCTTATGATATTTTAAAAGTCTCCAAAAGTAACTAATTTTTGGTTCTGAAGATGTAGGTATTTTATGATTTCTTGCTGTTATAATTTTTTTATTTTCTCTTAACATAAGAGTATAATTATATTACTATATGGGTATTATATAAATTTTACCCAATTTATCAGAACATACAATAATATGCATTTAAAAAGCTTTATAAAAAATTATTCGTGCACAAGTTAAAACTAACAAAATTTTAAGTTTTCTTGTGTTTTTTTACATATCTATGTGGTATTTTGTAATACTTAGTAACTTAAGTCGAGCTAAGTTTAAAATTAATACCATATGTACTCGTATAAATTGATTTCTATTAAAAATCTGTGCAAATTTCATACACTCCTCAAATCTATTTTAACGCTATTTAAAGCTTCTGATTCTATGTTTTTGTTTGAGATAAAACATTTTCTGTGCAAACACCTAATAAAAATAACTCTAAGTGCCCCATAAACATAACTTAAGCTATTTTTACATATAATATTTTCACAGAAACTTACCTAGCTAAGAAATTTTTGCATTTATTAATACCGCAATGAGTTCCATTAAACTCAGTCTTCCTTTAATTGCCTTGAAACATATACATAAAGTATATTATAGTTTATAAAAATCATGTTATTTTGCTGTAAATATATAAATTTGTTCTTATCAAGCTCTGTAAATTGCTTATAAATGATGTTAGTGGAAACTTACAGCTATTGTAATATAATAAAATCGATTTTCACACGCCTAGAGATGTCAAAGTTTTAAAAAATTATTATCTTATTAAAAATACTAAATTAAGTTAAGTTGTTCTGTTTGACAAAAAAATTAAACCTATATTATTTTCTTTGCATTTACAATTGTTATTAGATTTTTCATTTTTGCATTTATAAATTTTTATAATATTATATTATTATAAGCTTTAATTAATTGTATTGTTAGGTCAGGTTTTTTTTTAGATTAATACTTAAATTAAGACAAGTCAGCTACGCCAAACCACAAGCATCTGCAGTACACATTCTCAAGCGCTGGCGCAAATGTCAACAGTCAGCTGTCAACTATCATCAGTCAACAGTCATCTGCCAACAATGAAAACAATGCCATGCCAAAAATTTCGAAATCAGCTGTGAACAGTTGTGATCTATATACATAACTACACATCCAAATCTGTGCAGAATATAATCAAAAAATGAGCTTTTATGGCAATTTCAATTGGTGCAAATTACTATAATTATTAAAGAGATTGTATGCAGTTAAGAGAGAGCATATAAAATAAGAGACTCTTCAACAAAAAGTCGCGGTAAATCAATTGGGCAAAAAGGGTAAAAGAAAAATTTAAATTTAATATTAAACTATAATTAGTAAGTTTTAAACCAAACACTAAATGTATATTGAATTCTACAAATGAAATTGTACGTAAATTGTTGTGTGTATTAAAAATCTAAAACTCAAGAATGCACGAATGCTAGCTTTGAATTGAAATTACTTTTTAATGCTTCCTTCAAGTAAATCATTTATTTCACATATTGCATTTCAATTGCTGAAAGTAATTTTAAATAATTTTAAACAAATTAAATATTACAAAAGATAACATTTATTTTTAATTAATTTATTAAATAATAAAGGACGATACTCGCAGATTAAACTATATATTTTAGGCGTACAATGTCTTAACTTGGCTTTAATTAATATACAACTTGCTGAATTTTCATATAATACTTTATAAGCATACATATTTTAATATTTAGCTAAATAGATTTATTTAAAACTTATGTACTATGATTTGATATGATGATATGATGAAGGAAATAAATGTATAAACACTAAAAATTATATAAAGCTGTTCATTTTATTCCATTATGGCGTACACGGTAAGTTACAGGTTAAAAAAAAGGTCTCGAACAATTATGTCACAAAAAAATTTCAGAAACGGCCACAGTGCAAAGAAAAGCCGCAATCGCCATTTGCCTATAAAACAGTCACACTTTCTACCGGGCGCACACAACAGCACAGTAGGCGTCTCACATATGTTAAAATGTTCCATTATTTAATAAACCTCACCAAAAGCATGCAATGTTTCAATTAGCAAACCGTTCCCAAAACAATAGTATATCACATTTCGAATTTCGAAGTTTAGTTTGCTAACTCTCTCTTTCTCTCTATCTCTTATGAACGCCTGATACATTGCGACGATCCTTTGGCGAAAATATATGAAAATATCGCGAGCGAATCGAAACGACAGCGATCACGAGCATCACAGCGGAGCTCCGAAAACAGAATTTATCATCACTTTTCACCAAGTAAACATAAGAGGCAGCAGGTGATTCGCTTTTAGTAAAATGCATATGCTTTACCAATAAAAGTTTGTTCCAAATCTTAAATTGTAACTAGGAATAAAAAGCTAAATATATTTTGTTTAGTAATTGTGACTTTTTATGTTCTCCTGGTGTTTGTCGCACAGAATTTTTTTTTTTTTTTTATTATGTATCGTTTGAAGAAACTTTTTTAGTAAATAAAGCTCGAAGAAGTGTTTCCACTAGGCGCACAAAACAGTGCAGTAGGTGTCGCAAATATATTGAAATTACCACCTGCAACATCCATTGCTTTCAGTTTCCAATTATTCCTAAAACAATAATAATTGCAAAAGTTCGCATTTTGATATCGACTTTGTCATTTCTCATTTTCTCCCTCTCTACATTTATCATATGATCGCCTGATATATCGCGAAGAGCTTTCACGCAAGTATGTCCAAACATAGCAAATGGACGAAAAAGCGTTAACTAGCATAAAAAAATCATTTGCTATGAAATTCCAATAAGTTGTAAAGTAAGGCAGTGTCGCTTTTTACCACGCACACAAAACAGACAGTAGCAAGTTATTCGAAACATTAATTTGTATGTATATTGCTAACTGTCATATTCGCCAGCATTCTCGGACAATAAAAATTCTTCCTTAAAACCTGTTACAAAACAACACAATGCACAGCATATATTTTGTTATTATAAATTTAAGTTATATTTATTAGCTGTACCCTTTATGATTGCCTAGTGAACCGCCATGATTGTGCATACAAAATATATGAAAATAGTTTAAAGAGGCGAGAAAAATTATGGCACGGATGTGTGTGCAGTAAAATATAATTTCAGCAAGGCAGAAAACAACGCTTTCTAACATGCACGCATAAGAGTGCAGTAGTTGTTTCAAATATAAAAAAATTCCTTCCAATTTATAACTCTCGAGAGACTTAACAACAGACATTAGCTCCAATTCTCAAATCATTTCTATAACTAAACCGATCATTAAAAAGTGCATACCTATATATAATTTGTTATTTATGATTTCAGGTAAATTTACTTCTTGTGATTATTATATAGTCGTATGATATATTGCGGCAAATTCTTATATAAAATCTAGGGAAAATTTGAGGATAAATAAAAAAAGTAGCAGTGATCACATCAAAGAAGTTTTTTTCTCCTGATGCAGTGCTTAGCGTTCTAAGTAAAGAGTAGGTAGGAATCAACTATAAAATTATGAAATCGTCGATAATAATGCATAACAAAGCTCGGCTTGTCTTACATAACGCAATCGCAATGAAAGTGCACTAACTAAAATGCAAAAAGTGTTGTTTCATCATTTACTTTGTTTATCACATTCTCAAATATTATTGTTGTTCCAAATGTCCAGGTTGTTCCGTAAACAACAAATACTAAAAATGTTACTTTATGCAGTATTTACAGCAAAGCTTTGTTTCGTCGAAATCTTGTTGTTGTATTATTCGAACTTCAATGAGTTTGTTTTTACGTGAGAGAAAGGCAGAACATATTTATTTACTTACCTTCCTTTTATGATCGCCTGGTACTTTACACCAATTAGTAAACAAAGTGTTCGATATAATATAGAACATATCATATGAAATGGAATTGTGTTTACATCAGCTGCCATTGTTTGATGTTGCCTGATGCTACTTTTCGTACTCGCTATTTAATTGTAAGCTCCATTACTTAGCAGCAGCGTTGCCAATCGATATACAATAGAAAAATTAATGCATGGTATGTATTTATTGTTTATTTATGTTTTTCAAATTCAAATAAAAACTGGAAGAAATGTGAAAGCAATCGCAAAACAAGCGCCTTGAGTGATAGTCAAAGCAAACTCGAATTGCTCGTCGTAAGTTAGAAGAGTTTATAAAATGTACGCCTAAATGTATGCTACAATGGATATACAAGCATGAGTCAATTAATACACTATGATTGGATATAAAAATGCATTTACGAATTTCAGTTTTGTGTTATTATTAACAAAAATTCTAATTAAATTTCATGGAAAATTACCTAAATCTTTTCAAAATCCGGTCATTCATTTTGTTTCACGGAAAGCCACATTGAAATCATTATTTTTGCTTTCAATAATTGTTTTCATACGCTACAAAAAAAATTTTTCGATTATATTTTGACTATATAGAGAGCTTACACGCGTTTATATAAAGCTGTTTACTTACCACTAAGATTCCCATTGAATGAAAGCATAAAAAATAATGCTTAATAAAAACCGAAATAAATTTCTTTATATAAAAATTTCATAAAATTTTTAACATAAAAAAATTAGTTATGCAAATAATTAATTAATATATTAATGCGAATAAATATAAAGTACAAAATATTTTTTATCACAAAAATTCTTCTTACCTTCAAACAACGTAGCACTGAATGGCAAGCATGGGCACGCAAATGAAAAATAAAAACAAATTAGCTCACGCACAAAATTTAATGATATTTGTATAGCAAAAACACTGTACAGCTAACGATTCTCTCTTACGAAAGCTTTGTTTACGAACTGCTACAATGTACTAGCCGAGAAAATGAGGATTACAATAACTTAAATAGAAGCACTCGTACAATTTTTGTGAACCTCGAATTATGCAACAACAAGTCTTAAGCAAATTGGGTGAAACGAATTTTGGTTTTTATTATGGCGAAGGTGAGAAATGGCAAATATTATACAAATCACAATAACAAACTACATACAAGTTGCCCAATGCATTTCCATTAAGTAGGAACTATATGGGAATTGAAACACGAAATATTTCTGCGCCAAGGTCATATAGCAGATGACCTTACATATTTATGTTTGGTGGTGTTAGTTAATTTTTATTAATATTTTTTAATGTAATAACAACTATTGATAGTTTCTGATCGCCTGTTCATGCTATTTTTCAATATACTAGATATTTCTAGACTGCGTACAATAGCGATTTTTTTTGCCTATTGAAGAAAACAGAACGCATACATATAGAAAAAATAACATTTTAATTTTCGTTTTTGATATGGTTTTGAGGAAGTTTAAAATATTATGTATTTGGTGCTGTATATTGTTCCCTATATATTCATAATAATAACACCACTCATTGCAAAGTTTTTTTACCTTTTTTTCACTCCTTCACTTTAAATTAAATCCAAAACAGTTTTAAAAACAACGCTTTATTCAAAATGAAATATGCAAATGGGCGCTAATATAGCTAAATAACGATTTAATATGACATTCTTTCGATAACTATAAGGAGTATTAAAACAATATATATAATTTACTAGCAGTATATTAAAAATGGCAGTTTTCGTAGCATATCAAGCTAATTTCGCAATATCAATGCAACTTTTGCCAATAACCTTTCAAAGCAATGATTCAATTTCAATGCAGCTGTCGTTCCAAGCTGTCGCTGAGATTTTGCTTAGCCAATAATTTGATGCGCTGCTCAACCAAACCCAAAGGACGTCGACGTACCAGGTGACAAGTTGATTGCCTGAGAAGAAGATGGAAAGCGTTCGTGAGTAGCGTTTGCTGCGTTAAATTTATGTACTTAAAGATGGTGAAAAAAAAATACAGAATAAAATATTATACTATAAGCTACATAGTCACAAGCATAAATATATAAAAGTATAGTTGTTAATGAACAGTGAAAAGATATTAAATGTACTTCTAATAAATACCAAGGTATATATGTTTTTTTTATTTCCTTAACTCCCTTTAAATATTTTACCTTTGTATTAATATGCGCAACCTATTATGTTTCCTCTACTTACTTGTATATTATTTTCTCGCGATCAGCCCAGGGCCACGAACGCTCCAATTTATCAGCAAACTGAAATGAAAAAACAATAATAACAATTAAATAAAATGAATAATTTTTGAAAATATAATATTTGTATTATCAACCTAATCTAGTAACCTTATTACCGTCTAACAAAAGAGTAATCCATTTAATAACGGATGACTTTAATTATTTTTATTTTTATGAAAATTTGAGTATAATTGGTTATCTTAACAGGTAATTTCTTTTCAGTAGATCTTTCCTATATTTTAAAATTTCATCAAACTTTCTATATGAAGAAAAATTCAACGCGAATTAACACGAATTTGTGTTGTTTATATACTATCTGATCAAAAGTAAGCCGGACTGGGCTAACTACATTTCAGGTACTTTAATACAAATCTTCGAGTCTTTAAACTATCGCCTTCGAAAAAGGCTTCTTTTGAGCCAATATGAACAAAGCTTAATCCAGATAGATATTTAATTATTGGGTTTGTTGTGCAAACAAATCGGTATAAACAAATCTCTATAAACTTATTATAAAAGTCAAAAATTCTGGTCCTAAAAAAAAAAGAACGCGCTCTCTCTGTTAGAAATTATTACCTCACCGTTATATATTGACATTGTCTAGCTTCTACCGTATGACAAGTATAAATACCTTTGCGTAAAGTTATCATTCAGCTCCAATATATGAGGCTTTAGTTGCTGTTTGCTATGTTGGAACTATCTCCCAGTGTGTAGGTATATGAATACGAAGTACTCGCAGAGAGGATGCTAGAGATCATACTGGTTTAAAATCATTTAGAGCAAAAAGCTATGCATTTACTTTTCAGGGAAACTTAGACGCTAAACTATATCAGAAACAGTTGCTTTAAATCTGCAATTGAATCACAAATTCCAATTATGATCTATGATCTGAACTCTAACCGTAATCGGGTCTTTAGCATTGAAATTATTAGAACTTTTTTCAATTCAAACTTTTTTTCAGAATTTGCGGCGATTATCTTTACTTCATTTTTTAAGGGTATCTTGGATACGTATCGGAAAGTATTTTACCTTCAAAAAGAACTTGGAATAATTAGGTAATTTTCTCGCAAATAGAAACTCGGTAAAAAAAACATTACACTTAAGCGATTTGCAATTAAGAAATTTTCATAATAACAACCTATCGGCCCTAATGAAGTAATTATAATTACAAATTAATCATTAAACAAATAATCGCACGTAATTAAGCGAAGCTCAAACCCTGTTCACCAACAGGTAATTACAAGTAATTTTTAACGTCAAACTTTATGACTCATCACTTCACTTTTTTCAGCGCACATTCAACTCAAACAAAGCTTCCTGCTTAATGGCTTTTAGAGCACCTTCCACAAAAAACCGCACAAATCAGAAAAATATGCACACAAATATTTATTAAACAGCAGGCGGCACTAACCTTTTTCTCCTTTTCACCCTCATCATCGACCCACTGCAAATGTTTTTCCTTCTGCAAGTCAGCGTCAGCATGGCACCAACGCGCTTTCTTATTCGGCTTTTCCTCATCCGTGTCATCTATTTCAATCTGATCCGTATATGAATTGATTTCGTCGCCCGTTTGTTTCTCGTCATTCAACTGTAGCTTGGGTATTTTGTTCAAATTCCATGTGTAGGTGGCAGTTAGAAAATCTTCATCGTCATCATCAGAGCCATCATCAGAGCCATCGTCATCGTCCTCGTCCCCATTGCCTGCAACGTCACCTGCGTCTGTTTCATCATCACTACCTGAGTCGTCATTAACGCGTCTGGCTGTTACGACATCTTCGTCGGAATCCTCGTCGTCATCATCGGCATAATCCTGAGTTTCATCATCCGTCGTCGTCATATCAGCATCAACATTGCCACCTACAACAACATTAACGCTGACATTGACATTGTCATGATGATATTGTTTATATTGTTTGCGTTGCGGTTGACTTGGCTTGGTCGGCCTCCTTCGGGTCAGAAAGGAAAATGGTGTGGCGGCTTCTGCCTCACTGCCAGCTTCGATTTCTGCTGGATCTGTAGCGCGCAAAATGTAATTACATGCTCCACTTTCAACGTCCTCAAAACCGACTGCTTTGCCCGCTCCATTACCTTCTTTCATATTTCTGCTCTCGCAAGCATTTTCATCATCGTTGTCGCGGCAGTCACCAACGTCATAATCGTCATCCGTGTCTGCTTCATTTGATTCATAATTGCCTTCCGATGCATAATCCGATTCCGGCGTGGAGTCTTTAGCCAAGTACATTTTAGCGCCGCCGAATGGCTCAGCGGTTTTGACGTTTGCTTTTCCTTTAGCCTTCAACTTGAGACGATGTTCGGCGTTGGCGCCACTTAGCTCGTAATCCAGTGCATCCTCATCGTAGGAATGCTTGCGGTATTGCTGCAAATCACTGGGATTCAATTTCTCAAATGTTTGCGACTCGGTGGCGAGTGTGGAGGAGAGTATTTTCGGTATTTCCGCAATTTCCGATAATTTACGTTGCATCTCGCGCAGGCGAGCCTCTATTGAAGCAGCCGATTTCACTATGTACAGTGGTGGAGAAATTTTGTGGAAATTAAATATTAAACGGAAATTAATAAACAAGAAAGAAACACACAAATGACGAATGAAAGCGTATACCTTACAATTGGATATTAAATGGGATAGAAAAGTTATTATAGTAATAAAAATCGAGCTATTAATAAAAAGAATAAAAAAAATAATAGTATTTTAAATAAGTGTAAAAAGGAGTATTATTTAAACCCTATATATTATATTGTACAAGTATAATGAGGTTATAAAAATATTGATACTAAAAAATTTTTATTAAAAATTTAGTTTTCAATTTTCCTTCTTTTCTATTTTTGCATTCCAATATTATTATGCGCGATGATTTTGAAATCTTCAATGCTAAAAACTTTGACGTCGTAAAACTATGCCAGTATGGCAACTACCATAATACTACAAGTATGTTTGTAATTGCCTAGCGTTATTATAATAATGTTTGATGTTACGCGGATTTCGTATCTAGGCAGTGCCACCATTAACCCGTAAACCACGGCGACTGCAGAAATATATACAACTTTTAAGGTTTGCGGACATTCAAAGACCTTACATGTGCACAATTCTTTCATATTTTTGTGTACCATAAATTCATCTTTATTACAAATAAGTTCAAAATGGGCATTGCAGTGTGCACCTTAGAAATATTCGCATCCGCAGCCCGGTCGAGCTGCTTAAAGGGGTAGAAGGACTTATTCAAGCAAAACTAGACACAGTGAAAATCTCTTTATTAAGACCAATGGTATATTAAAGTATGAGAGTCGAATAATTTTTACGAAGAAATATTAAAAAATACGATAATGGTAGCAATTATTCGAACGTGTCTCGGTAAAAAGAGGGTCGCGTTTCATTCGTTAGATAATAGTTTTTCCCAAGTAACACCGAGGGAAGTTTTCGAAATTTCAATAATACATTTTTTTGGAACACTTGAAAGAAAAAATACAATTTTTTGAAAAATAAATCGGCTAATTCGAAGATTAACAACATCTGAGGGTTCTCATGTATGCTAGTTTTATACCCCGAACAGGGTATATTAAGTATGCCACCTAGAAGGAAACGTCAAAGATTATTATCCAAAAAATACACATACACTACAAGTTCCGAACAAACTGTTCAGATCGGCCACTATGTAATATAGCTGTCATATAAACTGATCGATCAAACTCAAGTTCTTGCATGGAAAACTTTTTCATTTGATAAGATATCTTCGGGAAAATTGGCATATATTATTTTCCAAGGTATCGCTACAATCTCCGCACATACCATTCAGACCGATTAAAATCAGAAAAAGAGCTTTTTATAAGCTATAAATGCATGTATGTATGCTTCGGTGCCGAAACTTACGTGTTTTCTTGATTTATTTTTTTTTTTTAATTGAAAGATTCTTAATTACTATAAAACTAAAAAATAGAAATTCGTTTACAGATTTTACAGAAAAGAGCACCCACTAGCTACAATTGAACTTTTCCAAAGATCACATGTAAGCTATCAGATTTACTTCAGTTCTTTTTCAGGTTCTAATACAAACTGTTATTTTAGCATATTGTGATACATCAAAAGTATTTTCGTTATATTGTATATCAATAAAAATTTTATAGCGCAGAAAAAAGTTATATTTTTTCAATATATATTTAAAGAATGTTTATTTTCAAACAAAAATCATTTTCAAATTCATGATTTTTCATTAAAAAAAGTCGCAAGTAACAAAAAAAAATCCTCTCATTTAATGGTGTACAACATGTTTGTATCAAGCTTATCCCATTGTCTTTGGTCCCATATACTACTGTCATATACGCTCGATAACCCGGTTTTTCAGTACGCCTAATTTCGAACTTTGAAGTCAAATATTTCTATTTTGTATGCTAATTTCGAAAAACGGAAACATTTTTTTTTTTATTTATGCCTCAATCTCTCGCAAAAATTTAGTTTGGTCCAATACTTAGAAAAAAGACGAATGTGTAATACAGTGTTATTAATTCAGACATAATTAGTAAATGGTTTAAAAATTAAAACTCCATGCAAACTTACTATTAAAATGTTTAAAAAATCGAAAAATTCAAAAACATAGTATTTACAACTCACGCTCATCTTTTCTTCTTTTCAAAAGCACTCGATATGTATAATAAATAAGTTATATTCTTGGGTTGGTTATCAGCAAAAATTTATTTTAATTAATTATAATTTCATATTATCATTTATAAAGCGGACAAAATTTAAAAACGCAATAATATATCTTTGCAAGCTCATCACCCCTCGCCATGCTAATTCTAATCATCATCACTATCGTATTCGTCTTTGTCGTCGTCCGTATCCTCATCATCCGAGTCCTTTGCCATTTTGCGACCATTCTTACGACCCGTTTGACGTCCACCGCGCCGTTTGGCGTTCGACGCATTGCCACTGCGTCGACCCCTGTTCTCCTCCCGCGACTGCGTGGTGGGCTTCATCGAACGCGAGGCAGTAGGCAGCGCCAGCAACATATCCTCAATGGTACGCTCTCTTAGCTCATGATTTTCGCCCACCTCAGCGAAGAAGCGGCGAATATTGCGTACGATGCGATGGTGTGGCAACTCCTGCGCTTGCACGGCGGCGGTGGCGAAGTACACAGTCGATTTAAATGCCGGAAAGTGTTTGAAATTTCACGGTGGTTTGGTTTTGGTGGGGCGTGACAAAGCATGGTTTAAAGCGGCAGCGGCAGCAACGAATTGGCGTCAGCGCAGGTTTTGAATAGAGAATTTTGGTTTATTTTCTTTTTTTTCATTTTTATTTTACATTTAGCATTGTGACAATCGTAAATAGGATTATGCATTAGTAGGTGGGTGCTGTGGCTGGTTTTGGAATTGTGTGCGGAAGTGTGTACGTTTTAATGTCAAGGCACTTTACGGTATTAACACCATCTTAACGGTTTGAGGTGTTTATATGTGATGTCTTATTGGTTTTACTCGCTTAAGCATGTCTTTTGCCAAAAATACACTTTAAATAATAGTTATTTAGATAGCAAATAAACTGCTTTTTTTCTTGTTTTTTGCATGAGTGTATTTTTTTATCTAAAAATTTATTGAGTTCGCATGCAGATTCCTTTGCGTGTGTGTTTATGATTGTGTATTAAAATTTAAAGTTTATAAAAACCGCCAGGGTACTAAGTTCTTTGCATAATCAATTTCTGAACTTTTATAATTTAAAATCATTATAAAGCTCTGCTTTCCTCCTAATTCATACTACATTTATTTTTAATAAAATTTAATCCTAAAAATCGAGTTTATGTTTCTATCGCTGTGTGAATATAATTATAAAAGTAAAGAAAAATATTACAACAATTTCGAATACTAAATCACTTGCAATTCGATTAAATGTTTATATTTCGATTGAATTATAAAAATATTTTTCAAATAATATATTTTATATCAAATTTTTTAAAGCATTTATCAAATTTTTTAAAAACATAAATCCATTAAATAATAACATTTCTGGGTATAATTTGAAGTGAAAATGTAAAAAAAACAAATCGGATCTTACTATTATGCAAGTAGCCTACTTGCAGATTTGCTTCACCTGCTTACAAAGCTTAATAAATATTCCTGTATTATATATTAATTTGAATTATATAATATTTTTTACTTCGTAGCTGAGATTAGTTGCTGTAATTAAAATCTTTCAAAAATTCTTCTAAAGCTTCATTCATCACTTTTGGAATTTTCTATGCTACAAGCGCACTTTGACCTGAATATGATACAACTACTTAAAAGACATGATCTTTTCATACTTTGCTGTGGAATAGAATATTCATTACGTATGTATGTAAATGCCTATATACCATAGAGTTTACTATGTACGTATGTGTGTAAGCGGACACAGTTACAACGCGCTTATCAAATTTTGCTTGTGATGCAACTCGTCAATTATGTATGAATGTGTGACGCGCGTCCGTTAGCGTGTCAATTAGCGGTAGTAGCAGTGGTAATTATTTAAAAGGAGTAAAGCATGAAAGGATAAATTATCATATCGAATGTAACGATGTGCATTAAGCAAATCACCTTTTCCTCTTCATCCTCTGAGGATTCATCTTCACTCAATTCAATGACAACTTCATTACCCTCTTCATCGATTTCGGTTTTGGTTTTCTTTTTCTTCGGTTTCGGTGGCTCGGGTGGATCGATCCACATGATGGGATGCCAAAAACGGGTGCCTAGCAATGGGGTTGGGGTGAACTCTACAGAAAATAAAAAGAAACGAAATTGATAAACCAAGAAAACCGCGTTAGTATGTGAGTACAAAGCGAAAAGCAAAAGAAAACCAGAGGAATAACAAAAAATTATAAGAATATGCGTGCTAAGGTAAGAAGAAGCTGCCGGAACGCGGATTAAATATGCGATGAATACATGCAAATGCAAACGTATAAACAACATGCCACTAAGTGAAGGAAATGGGGATTAAGTGCATGCCACATAAAATACAAAGGTATTTGACATACGCAAAAATTGAAATAGTTTCACACTCACCCTGCGGCGGTGGTGCTGGTTTTGGCACACGCAGCACAATCGACTTTTCCTCGCCCAACTCAAAATCTGGATCTTCCTCCATGCTGCAAAGTACAAAAGGCAGAAAATTTCGTTTTTACTTGTACAGGAAATGATATACGGAAATTTTAACGCAACTACAAAAAAACAACACAAACATCGAAAGAGGTTAAAACTACTCACTTCTTTACAAGGAAATGGATTTTCTTGCCACAAGCTTCAATTTTCTCATGCGCTTGAGTAAGTGTAAGCTCGGTGGCGTCTTCTTCGTTAATTTCTAGTATAATATCACCCAAACGAATGCCACCTTTGTCCGCTAAACCGTCTGGCGTCACCTAAAAAACAAAAAAAAAACAACAGAAAAGAGAACTTCTGTTAGTTTCAAGCAAGTTATGTTGGAAACACAAGCACAAAACAACATTCAAATTGTTTTTGACAATAACTTTTGGTACTTTTTTATAACTTTTAGTTTGGATTTTTCTTATGCAAGTGCAAAAAGGATGATATTTATATTTTAACCACCAGCTCCCGGCGAATACGCACGACAAGTATTGCTTTCAATGTTCAACACCGCAATGAGCACACACAATTTTTAAATGCACAATATTTAGCTGAAAAATTTTTGCTAAGCAAATTTAAAAAGTATACATATATGCACATACATATGTATAATATATATTTATAAAAAAAATAAACAGAATGCTCATATCTGAATTAAGTAAAATTTTCTTTGTTTCGTCTTTTTTTCTTGTGCCTATTTCAATTATTCTGGCGCTTATTGCGCAGCTCGTGCGCCGCGCTGACGTATGCAGACTAGCGACACACAACTTTCACATGCAAAATCTTCTACATACATATATTAATGCAACCTACTTTAAACCAAACCATGCCCACAACGCCTTTTTGCTCGCTAGTTGACGGCTGTCGTGTGCTTCAAATTTGCAAAAACTATGTACACAAACAAAAAAACAGTAATTTGGCCATAATAGCAGGACATTGGTTTGACCATTAATATTTTTCTGGCAAGCAGTGATCGGCACAGAGAAATATGAATATTTAAAATTTATTTATATTGGCAGTTATACACAAATGGTTTGATTTTGAAATATGTAGGCCCAAATTTCTCATATGAGTTCTACCATATAAACAATGCAGTCGAATAGTTGAAAATTCTAAATAATTTATATATATTGTATTATATAATTTATATATTGTACCTGCAATTCCCTCAATAATTTTTTGTTCATTGGCATATAAGAGCAAGTCGGCGAACCTATTTTCCCATATATTCTAAAAGATTTTCCATCGCTTAACAGGTGTTATGAATTGAATTTTGCGGCTGCCGAGCCCACTAAAATATTATTTATATTATTTCAAGTTATAATTAACGAAAGTAGACAAATATGTACTGTGAAAATGATAATGGGTACGTCCCTTTAAAGAATTCATCGATTTTCTTATGCCAACTTAGCTGTGGTTTAAAATATTGCTTCATGGGTAGTTAATTTTTGCCGACAATATTTTGACAACAACTCTTTAACTTTTTGATCTAGCTCGTTTTTTTCTTCATATGTAATAGAGAAATAGGAAAAGAGTTCACAAAATCAATTGTTAAAATGAATTATATAGGAGCTAAGGTGACTAAGAGAATTATTGATCCGATTCAATAATCAGAAAAGGATTTTCTCCGAATTTTTTTGTATATATCACAGATTCTCTGATATTTTCGATAAAAAGTTCTGGGGTCCACATATTCGGTACCTGGGGGCAAGAATAGTTTTGGTCTGATTTGGAGAAATTGTGCTCATAAGGTATCACACTTGAGAGGCACTGTTCGTGTGAAGTCTTATACCGATACCTTCATTGGTGTTAGATTTGTACACTGGAAAGTGAAAAAATCAGGAGGAATTTAAAATTGTATTATATGGGAAATAAGGATAATTATGGGCTCTCGCACCATCTCGGATGTAAAATTTAATGTCTCTGGCGAATTTATTTATTAATTTATCGGGCTTTTAGCCACTTTAAACATAACCGTTATATGGAGAGGGGGCGGAGTTATCATCCGATTTTATCAATTTTTACAGTATCGGTAGGGTAGTGTCTTAAGGGATTTTGTCCTGAATAATTTCTCTACGTTACAGCTTGCACAGGCAGACGGACTAGTCTCGTCATCCAGATCATTTATATATATATATAGGTATATAACCTTATATCTATCTCGATTAGTTTTAGGTGATACAAACAACCGTTAGGTGAACAAGACTATTATACGCGGTAGCTATGTAGATATGTAAAATATCTTCAAAAAATTAGGTGAACCTACATATACTAGTTATATTATATATCATATCTTATATATTGATGCCCAAAACGGGTGAAATTATAACTTTTAAAGCCACAGATACCGAATGTATGAATATGGCGGATTTTTTACCGAAAACATCGGAAAGTCTGTAAAATATATTAATGAAATTTAGAGGTAATCTTTTCCTGATAATAATATGCCCTTGTGTCAAAAATGGGTTAAATCGGTTAAACACTATTCCTAGCTTATCTACACCCAAAATTTGTATTTTAAAACTTTCAGTTAACTTTATACAGTATATATCGATCAATATGTAAAATGTGTTATCGAAATTAAGTTAACATAGCTTCTCTGGTATACTTTAGTTGGGGTCAAAATAAGTAAAATCCGTCCATGAATTGCCTCAGCCTTTACATACTTAATATAATGAATATTCTAGAATTTAAGAAAATATTTTCTGTATTACATTTTAGCATAACATCACAACCCAAACTTTCCCCTACCATTAACAGTGTGATTTTCGACACTTCCGGTTTGTATTAACAGGACATGTTTTCTGAACGAAAATATAGGTTAGCATAAATTCGAAATAAATTTTAATATTTCAAAAATAAAGAAGAGGTCTCTATCGCATTTAAAGAACCCACAGGGTGTGAATGTTTGAGGATTTCTCATTGATACTGACTTATAAAAAGAAAAAAGACTGACGTACTTTTCATTTGCCTATGGTCTTACTCAGAATGTGAAAACAAGGGAATCATTCATATAATGAAAACAAGAATGTACAATTAATAACCGCTTTGCTAACAGGAAGTCAGAATACTAATTCTGGCATTATTCAGCATTATTTAATAGTTTAACTAAGAAAAAAAACCAAAAAAAAATTTAAAACTCACTAACATAAAATCCACGTCGCATTGTCAAATGTTCAACAGGGCGTATAAGTAATTATCGTTGGTACATGCTTTAATTAACCGTTTATTTAGCACAACGCATAATCAAATGCTTAAAGCTAAATAAAAACCGTTGTAGCTTTATACAGAATATAAATTTAATAAAATAACTTCCTTGTTTACGCTAATGTATGGTATCTCCATACATTGCATCTAACTGGACAACGCAATAAAAAACCTGATAACGTTTTTCTGCCTCATTATTGCAAAACTCTGACTAATTACCTGTTTTGCAAAACTTTTTCAGTCAAAACAATTGCTTTGTTTGCCTCGACACTTTTATGCTCATTTATCTCATAATGAATGACTTAGGGCAAGTGGTCAGCCTACACACTAACAAGCTTTTAAAAATATAAAGACAGAAAACATAAATTATGCTATATTTATACATACACAAATACTTATATGTGTGTGTACTCTAGCCAATACCCCTTAAGGAAATGTGCAATAAAAATTTTTCGGAACTCGTCATTATTTTGAAAAACTTCTATAACCTCGGCGGTGGGACATATTCTGTATTCATTTATAGTGATAAAAAAATTTTAAGCATTTCGGATTTAAGAAAGTTTTGAGCAAACAAATATTCTCCATCATAAACATTTTTAATTTATTTATTAACCTTCATTTGCCATCTTCGCAAAATCACATCGAACTTTTAATATTATTTATATTTAATTCCGCATACGACTGCATCGTAAGGAGCCAACTGATCCAACATAATGAGCCGCGCTGCACTTTATTTCATGACATTGACTCCCCTCCCGTGGCCCAATGACGGCTATCTACGTTTTTATACCTTGGGTTTCATATTAGGCGTTTTAGTAAGAATCCCAAACATTTTTTTAAAAAACATAATATAACTTTTGTTCACCGGAGAAAGTGTAGCTTTTCATCGACGAAATAATTTTTCAAATCCTTCAAGTAGTTTCGGAGCCTATTCGATTCGAACAATCAAATCTTTCCTTTTTATAATAATACTATAGAAAATGCTTCTTGAAAAAAAAATTATAAAAACATAGTTTTTTCTGACTTGCAAGTTGATATAACTTCTTAAGGGGTACACCTAGTGTGAAATTTAAAAAAAAAATCAAATTTGTTTTAAAAAACCCGCCATTATGTCAATTTTTGATTTTTTTATAGGGTTTAATTTGTATGAAAAATATCTCCGATATCTAGAACGAGAATTTTTCACTTTTAGGTTTCATCTACGGAAAGCACTGCATCAGTGAAGGACATATTTTTAGCACCGTATGAAATGGGGTGTAACTCGAAAAATATTTTTTCTTAAATTTGACGGTGGAACATATAAAATATACCCTGAAAATTTCAAAACAATCGATACAGAAGTTTTTTTTTTTAATTCCCAAAAATCATCGTTTTGTAGGCTGTCACACTAGGTGTGCTCTTAATGAGTTATAACAGTCTAGGATTTAAGAATATCCAAAACTTGTTTCAGTACACTTGTAGGTGTTAAAACATTATACAACTGGTAGAGGACCGGAAACCATAAATTTTCCAGAAGTGGGGAATCTGCTGTATTTTGACGCATTAGGGTCACTCACCTGCTGCAACTGTCTTAATTAGCCGCTAATATGCTTTAAAAAAACACTCAAATACATGAGTATATGAATGGGCTTTTTTGATAAAGCCCAAAAGGAAGAAATTGTCAAAGGTAGGCATTTTTAGAGCTCTTAATTGGTCTAAACCCTTCAACAATTTCCACTTGTTATTTTATTAAATATATTTGCGCTATATTTCTGAATTTCACTACTCACTACAACTTATGAAAATAAAGTCGCGAAACAACGCAGTCTACCAAATGGTAAATTCTTAGTAACCGATTTCTAATGGCTGTAATACCACCACGGTACTTCTACAAATTCTTTTTAAACATTAAGAAAATATATAAAATTTTCTACAGGGTATTCTAACGATGCGCGTAAATATTTATTCTGCATGTACATATATTGTACTTATATATTTCAACAGATGCATCTGGCACGAGACTTTTGCGAATTGGGAACAGCGTAATCTATGCGGCTATTTATTATCGGTGTTATTTGGTTTTTGAAAACATATTTTATGGCGCATTAAATTTTGCAAGACTTTTGGGGCAAATTTAAGTAAAGAGAATAATTAAGCACTAAATGCATATGTACCTATATACTAATTACTTGTATGTTTTTTCTTTTATAACAAAAATAAATTGTAGTATTTTTGGCTAAAAATTTATATTTCGAAAATTAGTGCTGGTAGAGAAAATTTACTACAGATTTGGAATCAGCGAGGCAAAATCATACAAAATCGGGTAAGAAACTTCATAAAACAAAACTACTATTAGCCAGTGCTATTGTATTAACTAAAATAATACATGGTATAAAAGGAAAAAATTACAATTTGCGATATCTGATTCCAAACTTTAAATAGATATAAAAATAAGTCCGATCTTCAACTCTTTTTAAATACCATATATGGACTGTGAACTACTTTCATAAACATTACTCTTCTATATCTGATTTCCGCCAGACTTCCCAAATCTTATATTTTTAGCCCGATTTGTGGGCTTAAATTTTTTTTATTGTTTTTCAACCCGGTTGTTCGGATTGAAAAAAAATATATATTTTTTAACATAAAAAAAAGTTAATTCAAATGCAACCCTACTAGCAAAACTCACTTACTTTATAGAATTTGATTATTCATGTGTTATTTTATTTATCTCTCCTTAATAAAAAGTATCTTACCGCGATAAACTTTTTTCTTTTCTTAAAAATACGTGCAAAAACTCATATCCAATTTGTTTAAGCAGATAGCAAAAAAACAAAAACATTCAAATATGCGCACACATTTTCATCTACCTGTCCACCTCATTTCTCATTCAAGCACAGCTACAACCAGAACTATACTTTATGAATGAACATAAATAAATAAACAGCAACAAAAAAATGCGTCTCTCACCTGAAATACGGTCAACGCCATGTGAAACTCAGCGCCGCCTGTGATTAGAAACCCCCACTTGGGATCATCTTTGGCCGCATAGGCGTCCGAGTCGACGTCAAAGGCGGGAAATCCATCCGTATCGCCGATGCCACATGAGAGTTTTATGATGGGCGCTTTCTTAGGCGGTTCCGGTGTGTACACATAGGGGAAAGTGGTTGTAGCTTCCGGCATTGTTGCTGTTATTGTTTGTGATTGTTATTCAAATAAATATGTAGGATTTTTTATGGGTCGACTATTTTCTTTTTCATGTGAAAGTTTGCGCGTGTATTGATTTCTTCGAGCTTGTATTTTTATTTATTTATCAAAATCGTGTATTTGTATCGAGTACTTTATTTTTCAACCCTTTTTGCGGTTTGTTTATTTTATTTCTTATTTGTCGTCTATTTCCACGTCTTCACATTATTTTCGCACTTCACGCATTTATTTTTATTACTACAAGTATTTATTTGAATGCTCTCAGCAAGATAAATAAATGCAAACACACATATATCTGACTATATATATTTTTTTCATTCACATTTTATTTCGTTTTCGCACTCATTTGTGATTTTATTTATTGCCGGCAAATCATTTAAAAGTAAATGCGAGCGTTGCGATAAACACCCATACACCGAACATGAATAAAACATATATTCGAGAGAGGAGCAGATAAGAGATGAATGGGTATATCTTGTCGCAAGACGATTGATTGATTGTGTGATTTTGTATGTAGAGAGCGTCAACTTGAAAAGCTTTTACTCTCGATCAGCATAAAATAACAGAATCAACAAAAGTAAAATACGAAAGAAGAGAATGCAAAATTTGAGCAATAGAACGCGCATTTTCGGATGTATAAACGTAAATAAACAAGGTTGCCAACCTTGGAACTTTAGTTCCAAAAATGGTGCTTTTTTATATGTACCAATTTTTTAAACTTAACAGCATCTAATACTGTCAGTCGATTAAGGTTATCATTTGGAAATTACAAAATGTGTAAGATAAGAGGTGGGTCAGTCAAAAAAGGCATATATTTGCCAATTTATTGTGAGAGTAAAGAAGGAAATCGAACTTCGCTCTTTGAGGCTTTATTCCATATTTATTTGGGTGTATACAACATTTTCTCTTAAATTATCCTTCCAATTAAATAAAGTTTTTAGGATCTTAAAGTAAACTTCAAGCCAAAACTCATTTTGTTTTTAAAGCTTTTTACTGACCCATAAGCTGTCACTTGTTTCCCCTCCAATTATTAATATTATGCGGCATAAAGTCAGTCGGAAGTTCGAAAATCTTTCCATTAGGGGTATAGAAGCTAAGGGCATTATTGATCCGATTCAACCTGTTTTTGACTTACAGACATACTATTATCAGAAAAAGATTATTTTCCAATTTGTATATTATATCTCACAGATTGGCCGATATTTTAAAAGTTCGCAATAAGAACTGCGGGGCTTGACAATTTTGCTTCGATATATATATATATAATTTTTAGTCATAAGGTGGCACATCTCAAAGGTAATGTTCTTGCAAAGTTTTACCTAGATCCATTGAATGGTTTTTGATTTATATATTGAAAAGTGAAAGAATCAGATGGTACTTAAAGCTGTGTTATATGTAAAGTAATTAGAATTTCAGTTTTTAATCCAAAATGTTGCAATTAAAAAATTGGCAACCCTGGTGGCAATCTGATTTGTAAATATTGTATTGTAAAATAGCATATGTGTCTCTGCATAAATTTAGAGAGCTTTGCATGATAAAGTAGACAATAAATTTGCAACCGTTTGCAACCAAAAAACAAAATATATTAATACATAATGGATATAAAAAGCGCAACATCGAATGTGAATGAGCGAAGAATAACTTAAATAAATCCTTGAGTGTATAAGGCGTGTACCATGCTATAGTAATTAGAGTTCGACGATTTTATAAATAATATATTTAATCTAGAGATCGTAAAACAAAGTAATTAGGAAATATAATACAAAACTCGGTATCTACATTAACAAAAAAAAAAATATTAAGGAACTTTTCATCTACTTTGTTGTTTGTATTTTCTGATATTGTTCGAGATTAAGCAAAATTTAAAAGTTCTTAATGCTTCTGATATTTTATATGAGATATGCTCACGAATAGTAGTGGTAAATAAAAGTATACAAAATCTCAGCATCTCTTCCGCTAATGCTCGTCCTCTGCATGATAATTACATACTTGTACATACTTACTACTTATGTAAGAGTTCTACCAAAGAAACAATTCAGAAATTTATAATTTCCGCTTTCGTTCTCTCATATCTATAAACGCAATGCTAAAATGTGATCCAAGTAGAGGTCCTTTTCCAATAGCCTGGCTTTGACAGATCACGCGTGAGTCGTGTCAAGCTGTCATGTTATATATGTTCAGTATTGCTCAGCATTTCATCATAGGAAGACTTACGCCTAAACAACCCTAAACAATGTAAACGTTGTTCAACTTTATTACGAAAATTCACGTTCTGTAAAGACTGTGTTTCACGCGCTTAGCTCAACTTATGGTCAACATAATCGGCCTACTGAGCATACTATTCGCAAAACCATCACCCATTTTGCGACCCAGCATTCGTTTTTCGATAATATTCGAGCCAAATTTTGTTCAGCGATGAGGCCTATTTCTGGCTCAATGAGTACGTAAATACGAAAAGCAATCAAGAGCTGCTATTTCATCCAGAAAAAACAACGGTTTGATGTCATTTGTGGGCCTGTGAAATCATCGGTGCATATTTCTTCAAAAGTTATGCCGGTGATTTAAATAAGACAGTGCCACTTCCTCCACATCACATCAATCAATGGATTTATTGAGAGAACACTTCAGTGAGCAGATAATTTCACGCTTCGGGCCGGTCGATTGGCCACCAAGATCGTGTGATATCACACCGTTAGAATTTTTCCTGTGGGGATATGCAAAGTCTAAAGTCTATGCGGACAATCCCCGCTATATACGACTGAAATTTGTCACTATAGAAATATTCGCTGAAATTTATTTCAACAATACATAAAACAACAATAACTAATACTGTTTTGAACAAAGTTAAAGAAATATGGTTATTTAAATGCAATTAAGAGATCATGATCTTGAATCCCGACTTAAGCAAAGTATCAAACTAGATTCGATGACATTTTCCCAAAGAAATCAATTAACTTGCGGAGACGCCATATACCTTGAATAATACCAAAATTGGTACATTCCAATTAGAAAAAAGTGTTACTAGGTTATCAAAACCACAGTGATTAACGTTCTACCATTGTACAAGACCACAATCCGTGGATCTTCGGTATTAAAAACGCAAATATAATACAGAAAGGAAAGTGAGACTTATAAGTGTAAAAGATATATTTTATTTTCTGCATATTAAAGTAGGGCTCATAAAAAATTGATATGCGAGCATAGTGTGACTCTTACTGTTTTTTGATTTTATTGACTGGAAAGTTCGGCATATGTCAGCCATGGTCCTGTCGATTTGAAACTTCAAGGTCTCCCGAAAGGGTAGAGTGGGTATTGTTATTTCTAAGAAGTTTCACGAATTTTCTCCTCAGTTTTTCTACACTGTCATCTACATGGCTTGAAAGACATACATATATATATGTACCAAAAAACAACTGAGTTCCCCTAACCCAAAATTAAAATATCAAAACCCTTAGAATTCTTCAAAGGTAATCCATCTTTATGTGAGTAACAAAAAGGGCAAGAATGCCAGAGTGATCCGCGCTACAAAATCTAAATTATTGCGATTAAAGCAGGTATTTCTAACAAGATGGAACATAATCTTTCTTCTCCAGCGACCAATATAGCGCTGTTCGGGAATTTCAACACCAAAACAGAGTGCTTCGGAAGCAGAAATTACGCTCAATTGGCTCCTTTTCTTTTAAAACAAGATTTATAGCACTGACTGGGCATTTTAATAATATTTCACAAAACATCTCTCAAGACATAATTTAGAACTTCGTTTTATAAAGGACCCAAATAAGTAAATATTTGTATACCCTTAACTTAATTATCCTTAGTTTACCATAAAGTTGTGAACATCCATAAGAAAACGTCGGAGACCCTATAAAATAATTATATAAATTATCAGCATGATGAGTTGAGTTGATTTAGCCATGTCCATTTGTCTCTCTGTATATACGCAAACTAATCCCTAAGTTTTAAAGCTATCAATATGAAATTTTGCACCTGTCCTTCTCCTACTAAGAAGCTGCTCGTTTGTCGGAACGGCTAATATCGGACCACTATAACATATAGCTGCCATACAAACAGAACAATCGTATGGAAAACTCTTTCATGTCGAGGTATTTTCACGCAATTGGATTTCTTGTAAGGTACCTTTGCATTTGTGAAAGGTATTACAGCAACCGAAGTTAACGTATTTTCTGGTTTTTCCAAATTTAATGCCAATATCAAATTTATTACAATATGTACATATGTATATAAGTACACCTATAGATGCATTTTTATGCGCCCCCATTTGCTAAGGCAACACACACTGGCGTCAGTGCCACAAAATTGTTGTTCTCAACACTTTTAGTATTACTAAAAACCGTTTAAATGCCAAGTAAATGTTTATTTATATTTACTATATATGTACATATGTACGTATGTATGCGTTGCAGTTGCAACTTGCCAACAAATTACACGCTACTTCGACATGCAACCATGTGTAGAACTGTGTATTGCCGAACATTCTGCATGTATGTTTTGAACGAATATGAGTGCGCTCAATTTTTCATACAAACGAGCGGCCAACACACTTCATATGAGGACACGAATTTTGAGTGATTTTCACTTGCAACCGGCTTCTAGGCACAATTTACATATTTATTGTGTTTGCATAAACCAATGCGCCTTCATTATGTGTTATTCACTGTTTTCTTTAAGGCTTGTGTGTTATATAATTGATTGTGCTTGTGTTGCACAATATATTTTATGCAGTTGCGAATTTAATCTGATTACTTATCATTAATTTATAGCAAGTTATCTTAGTTTCTTTCATTTTTTCTACCTTGTGGCACACAATACACACACACACGCAGGCATTTGCTACAGCCGCAATAAATATATTACATTTTTCCACTAATTTGCTTGACAAATGCGATAACATTTATTGCTGATATTTTATTTCTGTACTTCGCTGCTGCCACTTCACTGCCACACGCGACTGCAATTCGCCAACTGAAAATGGCTCACTTTAGCAATTTGTAGCAGCTCCACCATATGTTGCGCTTAGCTATTGCCGTAATAGATAAATAGGAGAGCAGCACATCAGTCAATTTGTTGCTCTTAAGCACATACATACATACATATACACACACACATACATTTGTGTATACGTTTAAATAACTTTTTGGCTAATTTATTTTTGCTGCCATTGCGTTACTTCATCAGCTCCAACAGCAATTTGTATAAGCGTGTGTGCGCGCGTCTGTGTTGCCAAATGGCGTTGCGCCACTTTCGACGCCTTCATCATCTTCCACTTGTGCACCGTTAGCGCGGCGACTAATTCCTGCGTGCGCTCGTAAAAAACCAAAACATACAAACTTAAACTATATACATATATATATGGATACCTATAAAGGGTTTTTTTTTAGACAAGTGGTTTTCAAAGAAAAATAAAATGCATATATGTAATTTGATATTATGGCCAATAATCTATCTTTATAATAAAGATAAAAGTTTGCTTTTATGTTTAAGCAATCCCTTCGGTCAAGTGACCGCCGCGGCTGGCTCAAATATATTCCAGCTGGGAAGCACAATTTCCGACCACGCGCTTGATAATATTGTAAGCCCTCAAACTAAGATGCTTCCGCAAAATCTTCTATAAAATGGATGGGTCAAACTTCTATTGGTGTAGTGCGATGGCGTATGAATTTATTCAGATCTTTTGCGATACTCTGCTCCACAGCAGCAATAACGTCTTCGGTGCGCAATTTATGGTATCCCTGAGTATGCAAATTATCCACTAGAGTAAACGTATTGTGAAACCGATACATGGTTGCTCGAATTGCCGACTCTGCTGGACGATTAAATCGATCTCATACTGGACTTAGCGGTGTAAAAAAGACCAACTCTGCAAAAAGTATTGCCCCATTGAAAACCACACGTCTACAAAAAAAAAAAAAACACCCGTTATATAAACATACATATGGTATATACAAAAACACCTTGTTCCGCCACAACATTTCCACATTTCTCTTCTATCTATTTATGCAATACCGGTGCGCCATCTCCCGCTCTTCAAACGTCAAAATACAATTTCGGCGTTCCATTATTATGCTTGCTTCGAGCTATTCTTGTTCTTTCGCAAGGCCAATGATTTGCCTTTTGGGATAGGTCCATCAATTTGTTTACTCGCAAATGCTTCGCTGAAAGCTAGCTGCTGCCTCTGACAATATACAAACATGCATGCTATGTGCTACATTAGTACATATGTATGAAATAGGTGTGTACGTGTGCGTGTGTACGTCATAGTTGCTTATTTTCGTTAGATTCCAAGTGCATACATTGTTGCGTAGAATTCTCAACAGCATGCGGTGAATGAACGCGAACAAATGTAACCACAGCTATTTATTATTTCTATTTGGCACAGTAGATAAGAAAAGTTTGCAGACAAAAATTTATAAATATGCAAACTTGGCTTGAAAATACGCACTGATGTTTAGAAACAAAAATAAGTCGCCAAATTTAAACTTTCCGGTGGAAAAACACTTTTTTTCTTCACTAAATGGGGCTGTTTTTTCTGCAATTCGATGTCTGTTTGAGGCAATAATTCGACACAGCACAGCTGTGTGACCGTTTTTCCCTTCAACAAATATGCGAATTCCAGAAAACGGTAGCCAACACTTTTCTGGCCGATATAAGAGGCTTCACGTTCTTTGGAGCAATTACGCCGCATAAAGTACACTGTTTCATCAAACACTGCTCTAAAGTAGTCACACGGCTCCATTGGTCGTCTTGAAGGAACAATCGCTAATATTTTATGAAGAGTATGAAACACACAGACTTTTGAGTTGCCTACTATCTCAGCTATCTTGCACACTTTCAATCAACGGTCTGTCATAATGTGATAATGAACTTTTGTCACGTTATTATTCATGGTAGCTGCTTACGGACCACATGCCTCATCTAAAACTGACCAGTTCCTTCAATAAATGTTTTAAGTGAAGTAGAAGAGTCACAGCTTTGATTTCAGTACGCGATTTCTCAAAACAAGAATCGATTCATCGACCGATATTGCTGTTTTACCTCTTTTCTAAAATCCACAAACCCAACCTTTTCCACATGCGTTCAAAACAAAACTACGAGTCCTATTCGTATGAAAATGAACTACATAATAGTAAATTTCTTTAGCGCTATCGGGCAGTGAGCCTTAGTCCTTATCGGGTTGCGCTCGTATATATAATAAATATATATATATATATTTTTTTTTTTCATGAGTGAATCAATTTTAGTTGACCAACACTTATCACAAACGAAAGAGTATATTAAAATAAACTGGTCTAACCTTAAACATTGATAAGATATACTCAATATTTTGCTATTTGCTCACTTGGTGAAACAACCAAACATTTTTAGACCGATTTTGTTGTAGGATATTTTTACAAAGAATTCAAAAATTCTTTATAAAAATTGTCAAGTAAATGAGTTTAATGTTTTTACACCGAACAGTAGAGTTTGTAGTGTATAACTCTCGTACACTCAGCATGTTTATCAAGTTGAGTTGATAAGGTTGATGTATAACCCAAACAAATCAGTGTATATAAATAACATAATTTCTATAAATAAATTAAGAATTATTAATTATAAAAAGTCTGTTTATGTATGTAAATTTGTATCTATACAAAATATCCACATATTATATAAGCATATATATCTATGTATATAGATTACCACAATCTTTGATAAATTAGCTTGCTCCTTTTTTATACGAGTGCAGATATAAGAACAACGCTTAAGTAAAATAATTTGTAACGCATTTTATAAATTATTTTTGATAACATAAACTCTTTTATAGATATACAGGAACAGCTGTCAAACCAACTGTTGAAATAAACATATTTGTTTAGCATTTAGTCTCACCATTCTTTGGTAAATTATTAAGCATCGACTTTCATGGAGGCAACGTTCAAAAATCATAGGATTTTATTTTCCAAACAGGCATTCATTGCAGGAATATCATATATGAGTCATTCCATCGAAAATTTACATTCAAACATTTTTTTCGTACGAAACATTTTTTTTTTTTGTTTTTTGAGGCAAAATACATATTTTTTTTATTTCTACTCAATATGAAAAATTTTGGAGCTATAAATTTTCAAATTTTCAACTTTTGAAAAAAGTATCTTTAAACATTTGCATATACGAAGAAAAGTATTGCTATATCAAAATAACTAGCGGGTCTATTCTTTGCGATTTTTCTCAGCTTTCCAATAAGATATACGTGCGTTGAATTTTTTAGACATTTTTATAAACAAATAAGTTTTTTTTTTTTTTTTAATTTGGAACTATTTTTATTCAGTTTTTCTTAATGAAAAATGTACATTCAATGCCTCAAAAAGCGAATATATAGACCTCATAGAATATTACGGTCTTTTTACTGAAAATATCGGTCAATCTGTGAGATATTTTATATTAAGGAAATTCAGAGAGCAAGTTCTCCTAATAATAATATGCCCTTGTTTTAAAAATGTATAAAATCGGGTCAATAGACTCCATACATGAAGACCGCAGTTTGTCGATTCCAAGACATTCTCAAGAATTGTGACTGTCTCAAACAACCTGGCAGATTTTGAAAAAGGATTTGAGCATGCATCCATATAAAGTTGTTCTCACTCAAGAATTGAAGCCATTGGATCACCGTCAACGTCTTGAATTTTGCCTTGGAACACCTTGAAAACGATAAGAAATTTAGTAAGAAAATAATTTTCTCCGATGAGGCTCACTTTTATCTGAGTGGTGCGGTAAATAAACAAAACTGTCGATTTTTGTGCGAAGAAAATCCAAAAATTATTCATGAGCAACCATTACATTCACCTAAACTGGCAGTTTGGTGTAGTTTTTGGTTTGGTGGATCGGCCTGTACTTCTTGCGAAATGAAGCTGGAGCGATATAAATCGATGATAACCAACTTTTTATGCCCGCAATTGAAAGAAGTTGATCTTGACAACATCTGGCTCCAAGACGAGACTACGTGCTACACAGCACATGCAACAATCGAATTATTGCGATTAAAGTTTGGAGATTCGATAATTTCAACAAATTGTGACAGAGAATGAACTCCAAGTAGTTGTGATTTAACACCATTAGGCACCTTCTTGTGGGATTATTTGAAGTCATTGATCTTTAGCAATAAACCAGACTCTCTTCAAGCTTTAGCAGTCAATATTGAACGTGCTATTAATGATATACGACTTGATTTAATGGAAAAAGTACTCGAAAATTGGACTCGTCCAATTCGTTCCTGCAAAAGAAGTCGTGGAGACCATTTGAATGATATTATATTCAAAACTTAATAATTAATGAATAAAAAACATTTGAATTTTCTTAACGATTAGCGTGTTTTTTTTTTTTTAATTATATCACTCGTTTTGGAAAACAACCCCTTCTTAAGTCCGTACTCAGGCTCGGTATACCATCAAAAACTATACCGACAGTTATTATAATAAACATCTTAAATATTAATAATTCCTACTTAAGTAGTGAAACATAATCTAAACCAGTTTACTGTTACAACGCTAATACTATTTTGATTTCGAAATTTCATTACCTTACACAATTTCCACGAAATCACAATTAAATATATGCGGTCTTTTGATCATTGTATGTAAACAGAGAAATCAGTGCACCCGGCACTCATTTGCCGAATAATACATACTCCATGGCAATAAAAAAAAAAATTACAAAAATTTGCATTGATAACGAAAAGAGACTAGGACTAGGGTAGCCATTGTGAGTCAAAAAACTTTAAAACAGCAACAGTGAGTGAAAAAAAACGCCAAGCCTATGACAATAACATACTAATAGTCTTTTAATTCATTATTGTTTATTGGCCCAAAGAGCCGTCTAGCTGAAATGCGCATCACCATGTCACTTAGGTTAAATATGTTATTTAACGCTTATCAACTGACGTGACCAGCGGGAATATAAACAAAAGCAACAGCAATCAAACTCATGGTTCAACAATAAAATGCCGAAGAATCAACAGTTGGCGGGCGTCTGCCAGCAACACGAGCAGGCAAAGATAACCTTAAGGCGTAAGTACATACAAGTGTAACTGGGCGAAGCTTCGAGTCAGTTGGAACTCGCGTATTTAGTCAAGCCGACAATTGCCGGCAGCGCTGATAAGAAGCCTCCATGCGCGTTGCGATATGTATATATAGTTTTTGGAACAACATTACAGAGGTTAATATAAACAAACTGCGAATTATCTGTTATGCTCATTTTGTAGTACAACAAATTAGTTTAAGAATGTACATATGTACATAATTTATTATTTAAAGACACATTAACACGAAACTTAAAATATACAGCATCAAATTATTATTATTAAAACGCAGTAAATCATTTGGGCATCTACAGTGGCTCGCTCTTCAGTTGTTTAAAAAATCTCGGCGAAAACCTAGTCATCTTCCTCAGTTTCTTCAGACTCGAATTCAGGAATTTGTTCTTGTACTTCATCGTTTTCTTCACTTGTATTATCTTCTGCATGGTTTTTAGAACTTTCTGTCGTAGTTTTGGCGGTTTCCTCTGCACTCTCCAATGATCGTTTGCGTCTATCTTCAATGTATGTCGTTTCGTTGGCTTCATCTGAATCTGCATCCATTACTTCACATCCCTGCACGTAATCTTCCAAGGAGGAATCCTTTTTAAATTCTAACACTTCATTGGACTCTATGTTTTCTTCGGAGTTCAAACTGAAGTTAAGCACGTCATTCAAATCTTCATTGCTCTTAGGTGCAATTTTCTTGTCTCCTTTTCGTTCTAAACGCCGGATGTCTAGCTTATTTGATCCACTACTTTTTGCCTTATCTTTTTCTTTGGACGAATCTTCCTCTAATGAAACGGAAGCCTTAGTCGTATCTTCTTCTGATGAACTATCGTCAGCTTTGCGTTTTCTACGAGCTCCGTCTGAACCTTTGGCATCGTCACCACCGCTTGCACCGTGTGCACCTGCTTTGCCTTTCTCTTCGGATGAATCTTCTTCAGATGAACTATCGTCAGCTTTGCGTTTTCTACGAGCTCCGTCTGAACCTTTGGCACCTTTACCACCGGGTGCACCTGCTTTGCCTTTCTCTTCGGATGAATCTTCTTCAGATGAACTATCGTCATCTTTGCGTTTTCTACGAGCTCCGTCTGAACCTTTGGCACCTTCACCACCGTTTGCACCGGGTGCAACAGCTTTGCCTTTCTCCTCGGATGAATCTTCTTCTGATGAACTATCGTCGGCTTTGCGTTTTCTACGCGGTCCATCTGGTCCCTTTATACCTTGACCGTTGCCCATTCCAGGTGCACCTGGCTTGCCTTTCTCTTCGGATGAATTTTCATCTGATGAAACGGAATTTGTGGTCGAATCTTCATCTGATGAAGTGATATCTGTAGTCGGATCTTCTTCTAATGAAATAGAATCTTTAGTGGAATCTTCTTCTGATGAACTATCGTCAGCTTTGCGTTTTCTACGAGCTCCGTCTGAACCTTTGGCACCTTCGCCACCGCTCGCACCCGGTGCACCTACTTTGCCTTTCTCCTCGGAAGAATCTTCTTCAGATGAACTATCGTCAGCCTTTCGTTTCCTACGCGCTCCATCTGATCCTTTTATACCTTGACTGCCGCCTGTTCCATGTGCACCTAGCTTGTCTTTCTCCTCAGATGAATCTTCATCTAATTCGGTAGAATTTGTGGTCGAATCTTCTTCTGATGAAATGAAATCTGTAGTCGAATCTTCTTCCAATGAATCTTTTGTCGAATCTTCTAATCCTTCTCCTCCTTCGCCATCACTTGCCACAGGTACACCTGGCTTATCGCTCTCCTCGGATGAATCTTCTTCAAATGAACTATCGTCAGATTTTCGCTTTCTACGGGCTCCATCTGAACCCTTTGCGGCTTCACCTTCGCTCGCACCAGGGGCACCTGGCTTTGCTTTCTCTTCGGATGAATCCTCTTCAGATGTGCTATCGTCAGGTTGGCGTTTTCTACGTTCAAATGCTAATACATCACTGCCTACCAACTTGGAGGAATCTTCTGTTGGGTCGTTCTTATCAGTTTTTTGACGCTTCCTTCGAAGTTCACTGTTATATGATTTTTCAAGTTGATAATAACGCTCATATGCATCTTCGCTACCAAATTCATTACTGTCTTTATTGTGGTTGTGGTGATTACACAAGTCGACATCTGGTATGTCGTCAACGGACCTTTTTGCAAGTAACTTAATATTTTCTAGCGTCTCGTCAGACCCTACGTCAAGTGCATCAACTTCTTCCACAGAATGTATATTGGATTCTTTCTTATCCTTGACAGGCAGTGGTACCGCAGTGGTTAACGCGGCCGCCAACAACAGCAACGCAACCGACGGAAGTAAACGCATCTTGAATAAACGCGTCAACTTCTCTCTTTAATAGGCAATTTTATTGTCACACCAAATCCTTTACGACTTAATTTAAGTGATTTGAAATGTAGTTCGAGTTTGTCGATAAACTAACGGATTTCTTATTGTCGCAAAACCGTTTCGTTGGAAGCGCGTTTTTGCACTGATTGCAATACTTTTGTGTCAGTCTCATTAAGGCTATCAGTTTGGGCAGCAATCAGTGGCAGTGCTCATACTAGCGACTTAATCAGTGCTTTAGTTTTACAGTCTGACAAATAAAAAGCTTTTCACATGCTTACAATTGCAAGTGTAGTTGTTTTTTAACTTTTTGTTCCGACGTCAGGCTTGTCACACTCAACTGACAGCGTTTTGCTAGTTTCTGATGAATTAATTCCCACATAGGACGTAGCGATAAGGAGCAATCTTTTGGTTTGGTTGTTTTTGTCATGGTGCGTAAAATGATGATAAACCAGTTACGATACAATAAAGTTTGCTTTCTACCAAGAAAAGCCGTTACATGCGTGGTCATAATGACATGAAAAGTACATATGTATATGTAAATATTATGAGATCATATCATACTCCTATAAACATTTGTACCTTTTAGGTATTTGCGAATAAATCACAAAACTTAATTCGGTTAATCGCTCGGTAGCTCAGCGATTATAATCCTACTGTAGATAAATTTTTTACAAATAATTCATTAAATCAAGGGCAACGGGAATTTTTTTAGGCGGTATTTCAGCTTATAATGGCTGTAGTATTAGTCACACTAAAGCTAAAACACATCTAAATTACTAAGACTTTGATCTAGATTAATAACACTAAAGCAACTTAATTTATGCAAAATAATATTCCAGATAAGCAAAAGTCTATTAATTTGAGCAGATAACTGTGTTATGATTTAATTCTCAGCAGTGCTCTCGATTACTAATCAGTCAACAATTCTTCCACCAACGAATTTTTGTATAAAACATACACTATAAAAAGTTGACTTAGTTGCGTAGAAATTACTTATTCGATCGCCTGAACGGATTCAACAATAAATGTTACTGAATTTGAGGAACATAAGTTTAAGAACACCAGAAAACGATTCTGAGCGATCTTGACTATATACTCGAATGTGTTTTACGTACTCGAAAACGTCCTGTGATCCTAAAATAGACAGAACTACAATATCTAAGCCTATATTTCACTCATGGGATTAAGTTTTTTAACTGGAAAATATAGAGAGAGAGAGAGTTTCTAAACAATACCAAAAATATAGAATAACATCAGATAGCTTTTTTAGTTTTAATCTGTCAATACGAAAGCCCCAAACAGTTCGAAACCACTAATTTTTTTTTCTTCCGCATGGAATTTAATTATCTATAATTGTATAAATCTAACCCTTTTTTCTGATCAACTTATCTATAAGGTCTTCAGATACAATATTTGGAACTTACAAGCTATATAAAGAGAAATTCACAACCACAATCATTGGTCGCAATACGATGCTTACCTCTCAGCTGCTATACCATGCTATCTCATCCATACCTTTTACATATCTTTTTATGCGAAACGTGTGATTTTAATCGACAAATCGAGAATTCTATAAGATGAGGAAATCTGGAAGAAGTCAAAAATAAGTACTTCAAATGATTTGGCATTATCTGCTGAGAGCACGCAATGAAATAATAAAAGTTAATAATGCTTAGGCAAAAGCATATTGAATGATTATGAGATAACACCACTTTAGACAAGTTGCGCCAGGAATTACTTCGAACAGAGTACCGACCACGAAACCAAAAGATTGGTAGTAAGCGTATTTTTCTAAACAAAACAGAAATATATGGGCGTAAACATATTAGGTTCTGGTATAACTACACTCTCTGATAACAGAACTCAAGATGTACATCTTGTTGGATCGCTTCAGAAATCTCTCGTAGAAGTGACATACATACATTATTAGTTCTAAAGAATAATAACAAACGGCAAGTGATCGGTCTTTGTAGGTCATAGTTCAAATTTAGACAGAAGTATACAGATACTAGCCAGCAAACTAAGATTTAATTAGTTAGTCATTTCGCAAAACAAAACAAAAAACAAAATGAGTTTACTATACACAAGCGATTACAGTTTTTAACCAACAATATTTGAGTAATAATTATTTTCAGCGATTATTAAAATTACATTTTGAACTACATAAAGGAAGAGATTAAATGATTAGCACATAACTGCAGTAAATATGCAAATATGGCAACTGCAACTCATATTCATATATATATGTATATTATTATGTATTTATTATATATGTTTATTAGAAAATCTAATGCAATTCGATGCTGATAAGAATTTTACATTTTATAAAAAATAAAACGCAATTAAATATTAAGAATTCAATATGAGCAAAGCATTTATTTAGGAAGTACATAATTAGAAATAAAAAATTTATAAACTAAAGTTTGTCTAATAAAAATGGATTTATTAAATCATAAGAGACTTTTATAAAAATTCACTATGTTAGAAAAATATGGAAAAAATTGCAATTAACTGCACTAATCTGTAAAAAAGATCACATTTCAAGCGAGAGCCACATGTTGCAAATCCATTTTTAATACACATAAAAACGAAGTTCGTTAAAATGTAACATATACACATATGTACACATGCACATATATAGAAATTAGTATGATATATAATGTACTAGGGTCGTCCTGGAATCAGAATAAATGTGCACGAGATTTTTCTAACTGTCTATTTCAATTAGTTACAGCTTGAGAAACCAAAACACGTGAGTACGGAAGATGATTGATTAAAACATATTATATAACTCTCACAGAGAATTGAACATTGCGACACAGTTTTATGCATAATTTCGATTATCTTAGTTCAAGAATAGGCTGTGATTGTTCACTGCCTGACGTAGAAAACATGTTAAAATCTTTCACAATAATAGCGCTTACAAAAATATTTCTAAAATGTTTGATTGCAATTAAAAAAAATTTTTTTGGGTTTTTCTTACTTTCTGGGTTTGGGTTTATTAAATTATAATTTTTATGTAAATGACAATCCTTCTTAGTATATATCTTGAACTGCGAGTACTCATTGGTTAATGTTTATTTATCTTACAAATTTAATATGCCAATATTTGTAAAGGCAAAACAAATATCCATATTTACTATGCTAACCACTAACCGATATACGTTAATGGCACAAAGTCGACCAAAGAGCTAGAAATAAATGAAAACTGTCTTCGATTCGCCATTTCTCTGCTCACTTCTGTTCCATTGGCAAAAAAAAAGTACATGCAAAAGCAACTACAAGTGAGTATAGCCAGTATCTTCAGTTGTGAATGGCTCAAATCACAAATGAAAATAAAACTTTTTTCTTTTATTTTAAAAACTTAAGAATTAGAATCAATTTAAGTAGTTTATAGAAAACATAACTAAGGGGCTACTAAAATTTTGTTTGATGCGAAAAATTACTTTATCCATCAAGAAATAATCGTAGCACGATGGCGCATGCGTTAGAAGACTTGTTAATGCAGTATTGCACCACAAGTGCACAAGGACATAGCAATATCAGAAAAAATACTCTCTTTCTTAAAGATATCTCACATATTTACTCATTTACACAACGGCACATTATTATCAGGAGAATATGTTTGCTGAATCGCATCAATATATCTCACAGTAGGACCGATATTTTCTTGAAAAAGTCAGCAATGTCCCCTGATGTCCAAATATTTGGTGTCTGGGGCTTGAAAAGTTAAGGTCCCATTTCGTCCATTTTTAGGTGTGTGATAGCTAGGATCATCTAAAAGTAGGCGGTGCTACATCCATTGTCGGAATTGTATTGTAGATATGTCATATATGACCTTGTCATGCTGATAATTTGGACATAAATAACTCTACATCTGTATCGTTTAGTTTTAGGTGTTTCAAACAACCATTAGGTGAACAAAATTATTGTTTTCTGTGGCAACAAATTGCGAGAGTATAAGTTTCATGAGCATGAAATGTTCAGTTACACCCGAACTTAGCCCTTCCTTACTTGCTAGGTGCGAGTTTTGCTTTTTAGTTAACTATTACGGAAAAAATAATCTCATGATATTCAAAATACATCAACCGAAAAGTGGGCGTGGTTTTAGTCCGATTTCATTAGATTGTAATCCGAATAGCAATCGGTCCACAAGTAGTTTTTTGAAGTAAGAAATTTCTTCTCTTCAGTGCGGCTTTTGTAACTTAACCTAAATCACGATCAATAAGTTTGAACACAACCTAATAGCAATATATGCATCTATTCTCATATTCATACAAACAGACATTCTTATTGTATTGTAGATATGTCATATATGTAGATATGTCATATCCCTCAAACGTGTCACGAATTTCGAATTTGAGCGTCAACAGATGTCACCAATCAATACGAAGGATATTATGCAAAGATATGCAGTCCGATGGCAGTATGTAACATATTTCATATGAACGCAGAAAAGAAGCAACCCAGTCAACAATAACCACATCAAATAAAAAAGTTTTTAATACAACGACTTGAGTTTGATCGATCAGTTGTATGGCCGCTATATGCTATAGTGGTCCGATATCGGCGGATTTGGCAAATGAATATTTCTTCGGAGAGAAAAGCTCATATACCAAACTTCAGATCGATAACTCAAAAACTAAAACCTTAGTACGCGTACAGACGCACGGACGGACAGACTGACATAAGAACATAGCTAAATGGACTAAGCTCGCTCAGTCACGCTGAACATTTATATACATACCATTATATCGTCAGCGACGTTTTCACTTGGCTGTTACACACTTCGTCGCAAACTTATATGTATATATAAATTTGGGGTATAAAGACGCATAAACAAATTTAATTAAACTTCGATTTTTCAGCAGAAAGAGTCTTGCCTCAACATAATCACTGGACTTATACTGCTGATACAGATAAGAGCCAATCGGTTTTTGTTTCGATTGCCTCATAATGATTGATCACGTGGATAATAAGACAAACACTTTTGTTATAGATATATTTGAAAGTGTGAGATAACCGAAAATGTTGACTGGACTTCCAGTTGTTTTCAATTTTTGTTGAATTAACCAATACTTATGCAACAGCAAGCGCAAGCTTAAAGGAGGTCACAATTGTAGTTTGTATGAAATTGAATCCCATGCATGTGTACATAGTACAGACTCTTGTAGGTAGTTGAGTACATATAGCAAAAGGTTCATGCAGTCAAAAGGACACTACGATGTCGCGGCAGTGCCAGAAATCGCTTGGAGACTTTCAAATGTACAACTGGCTGTTTATAAATGCACACAACAAGTACAGACTAGAAGCAATCACACAGTCACTCACATTCCGATCACAGCCTTATTGTGCGGTGCATGCAACTATCGTATTTATGTTTACCTATATGAGGTATATTGGCTTTCGAGTTGTTGAATTCGATTAAAAATCCAATTTCATAGTAGCAGACAATCTATTCAACGATTTTCCTTTACAGCGCATTCTAAACTATTCAATTTGGTAAAGCTCAAATGGCGTGACTTCTCTACGTCACTCAGACCTTAGTCAACTTTGGAATGTTGGCGGCCGATGCAGACATTTGGGGTTTTCGCTCGCTGTTGATGCCTATTTGCAAATCAATATATTTATTCATTGTCATTCACAAATGTCATGAAGTTCTCGTTTACAGTTTTCATAGAAAATTTTAGTGCAAGCATTTTGCTTGAAATTTCCGTTTAACGACATGCAATCGACAATATTGGGGCATTGAGTTCAAAAGTCACCTTCAAACGCACGCCAGCAATGCTAAGGTTTGGTGAACTTAAAGAAATTCCCCCATATGTGTAGAATTATGTTGAGTTTCAAAAAGTTTGAGCTCAGAAAAAACTCCAATCACGAAATACTCATGATCGATTTTAGTCTTATTGGCGAGCACTTAGAAAGGAGGTAGCAATTAGAAATAAGTTTCTTTGCTCAAATTCTTTAAATAACACTAATTCCTATATTTTAATAATAAATAATAAAATTTAAATTGCAGACGTTTTGAAGGAGTGTATTAGATTAAATTCATCCCGACTGAAAATATATTTCTAATTATTTATTCAATTTCATTATACTTCTTATACATCACGGCTATAATGATACATATTTCTTTAGCGAGTAAAGCCAGTGAACAAATTTAATAATCGAAGACTATTGATAGGGAAAAAAGCCTGTCAGACCACCGATGGTGTCACGGTAATGTGTGAAGATATGGATTGATTTCACACATTTTTAGCATTAAACTATAATAATAATAATAACCGATATCATACGTTCCATAGTTTTATACATATTGGACGCCGAGGTCTACTGCGCGGAGCTAGATCTCAGGCGATGGTTAGAAGAACTGCTGAGATAGCTAACAACATAAAGAACGTCTATATATATGTATACAATCAAAGTTGTAATTCCACAGCGCATTATGTCAGAGAATGTCCTGAGAAGCAAGTAGGCAGTAAATGTGGTAACTGCCGAAAAGCGACTGCATACTAAGGTTACCTTTCATATTTCGGTATAAAAGAACAAAAACCAATATAAGTTATCGAATATCGCTTTATTGTCTTTCAAAATATTCTCCATTAAAATCCATACACTTTTGCATGCGTTTGAACCAATTGTCGAAGCACTTTTGCCACTCTGATTGAGATGTCTCCAAAACATGCATTCTGAACGGTGTCGAAAAACGTCCACTCAAAATTTACCATTCTATTTTATATTCTTGTTCTAGTGTTATGGTTGCGGCATGTCCAGTTTTTCCAAAAACACAGGGAACCATTTGCTTGAAAATTGTAGTCGACTGGTGTTTATTTTCAGAAGAAATGTATCTCTCGACCAATCGACACGAGACATTTTTGAGCGATTGACAAATTGGGTGGGATCCAACTTAATCTCTTGTCTCAATCTCACGATAGTTCACATGACGATCACATGATATTAAAAATGTCAAACTTTACGATAAAGTTGTGAGTTCCCAGATTGCAACACTAGGGTTGCCAAATCCCGCGATATAAAAGGCAAAGTACGTATATACTGGGTTCCGGGTCACAAGGTCATTCCGGAAAACGAAATAGCTGATGAGATTGCCGTCCGCCTGGCTACCAGTACAAGAAATACGCAAGTCGCTAAAAATAATGCATAATAAAACTTCCGAAAGGTCTGGAAGACGGCTCAGGTTGAAATGAAATGTCTTAAGGACATGCAAAATCGCCAAAGTCATGACACGTGAAACTGCAAAGTACATTTTAGCCGATTGTCACGACACTGGTATGTGATGGTGCTAATGGAAACACCCAGCATCCTCTAGACGATCTAAAGCATTTGAACCACCTAGTTTACACACTACAGTCGCTAGTTGCCGCAAAAGCATAAAGAACCTTAAGCGTGCATTGTAAATTCGATCATGGTGAACACTCTGGAGAATTGCCACAACATTCTTAGTATACCGAGGAACAGGTGTACCAAGATCAAGACATCGTAATTTTTACTCAAGTCATTGCTTGCAATCTATCTCGATTATTTTCGGAAGTTACAAACAGCAGCTAGGAGAACAAAGCTGTCATAATATGTTGCAACATGAAATAAGTTCGAAACTCCTTATACCATAAACTATTACATAAAAATAGACAAATGCACACATTAGCAAAATTCATTACACTAAGTGAAAGAATATAGAATTTAAATCGTTTTTCACACATGAAATGGTTAATATAATAGATGCCATTAAGAGATACAAAAGTGTTACTTATGCAAGAGTAAATGCAAATGCATCAGGACGCAACTGCGTATACGTTACAGAAGCACCACTAGCGAAAGTGAGCAACAGTCTGCAGGGAAATTCACAAATTGCAGAGTTGTTAGTATGAGTCATGCAACGCTAAAATTTGTACGTTTTAAATATGCAACTTTTGGCATTAAGACAAATGTTGCATTTACCTCTGAATATTTGATTCATTCGTACAAAAGGTATTTTAGTTTAGATAGTTATCAAAATGTTCTCAAGAAATATACAGATGTATGTAGTCAGCCGAGGGACCGTACTAAAGCAGAGATTATAAAATTAAAGGTATGACGAAATATTAAAATTTCAGCTTAAAATAAATAGACCAGTCAACCAACTTTATGCGATATATAACAACAAAATAGGGCTAGTAATGCAGAACTGAAAAGATCGCTAGTAGCCAACGAAAGAATCATTCCACATTAACACTCTTTGATCCCAAAAATGTGTATATGGAAGCAACAGCAAAATTATCTCGTTGAATTCGATGCAAACGAGTATGTGGACACTACATTCAAGTGTTATAACGGCTTTTTTCAAAGTTAGCAAGGTTTCTTTTATAAATGTCCAAAAAGTCTATATTAAATAGCTCAAGTGTCAAATATCTGTCAAAAATTGTCATAATAGTGCTTTTACACAAATGTTACCCAAAGATTGAAGGTGAAAAGAAAAATAACTCATCCCATATAACTCAGTTAACCCATATTTGAGACTCAAATATAACTGAGATCATTTATCGCTCTTAGATGACAAAAACATGGATAGGAATGCATAGGTATATCGTATCCATCAGTTCAATATTGTACCCAACCAGTTCAGTTTGTATGGCAGCTATATGCTATAATGCTCCGATATCGGTATTTTATGTCCAACAACAATCCTTAATAGACTGAATTTCATTTGCATCAAATTTAATTTCAAAAAATTTGTAAATTACTTTAATAGGAAAAAATAAATTTGAGAGTTTTGCAAACCTTGGTTAGAAATATAGCCTCGGCACAATCAGAACAAAACATCGCTTCTAGTAGTCTTCTTCGGTTTCCAATATAGTTATTGTTTTAGCAGCCCTTTTCCATATATAAAGTCGGATTCAGTTCCAGTTAGATAGTTCTCTCCGTCAATTTTTCTAAAAGTTTAAGATAGACAAAGGTACAAATTAAGACAATACAACCTATTACAAATCTGATATATCGACACCGAAACACTGAAACAAAGCAGGGGCCTCCTACGATGAGAGTTTTTAAAATTTACAGCAGAATAAAATATTTCAACATCTTTCTCCTTAATAAAGTTTAGGTATTTTAGATGACTAAAATTCGGTTCAATTAACAATTAAGCCAGATAACAAAATGTGTATCGATATTGTCGGTAATATACCTTTTAGGACCAACCCTCCCTATCTTTTTTGGTTGTTTATATAATTTTATTATACTTTTTGAAAAATTAGTAAAATAAATAGATATTTTAGATTAGGGATACCCGAAATTTCTTTCTGGTTATTGCGAAATTCTTGGTTAGCTTAATATCTCTGTTAACGATACAATTGCAGAAAATAGAAGAAGAGAAAAAATTGCCAACATATTTTCGAAATCAAACTAAATGAACACAATTTTTCACTTTTCTAAAACATATTTATTTGAAGATTTTTTATTTAGCATTTGCTCATAATATGCAATTTTGTCGACTATTTTCTTATATTGACTACGTAAAGCTTCAACGGTCACCCTCTTCTGATCTATCTCCTCCACAGTTTGATCATAATCAAGCATCAGTGAGGGCTTCGACAATATGCCACCTTGAAAGGTGTAATCTTTGATTTCTTTACGGATTTGTGCGCGTATCTGCTTCTGTTTATATAGATTGCGACGGGTAATTTGCGATTGTCTTAATAATTCTCGAAAGGTCAACTTCTGTACGCTCAATCTATTGCGCAGCATAAGTATGCGCTCTCTTAGATGCGTGCTAATGTGAACGTCGAATAGTTGCTGAGTGCGGGCTTTAGTTAACTCCGAGTCGCGTTCTGCCGCGAATAAAGTGAGTAAGGAAAATTTAAGTTATTTACTTAGTTAGTAAGTCCAATAACTGTAAATCATACATATACACACCATCATTTTTCTTGAACAGTTGTATGACATCGTTTTGCAGGTTCTCAAATTGAAATAATTTTAGGCCATTGCCGATGTTTTGTATTTGATTAAGGCGCTAAAAAAAACAATAACAATACTAGAACCAAGCCTTTGGAACAGAAATTTTTTTTTTTTACTTTTTGCAGCTCAGTGAATAAATGTTGCTTTTTAATTAAGATAAGTCGTGATTTAGATAATTCCTTTCGCGCCAATGCCATTTTCTTCAAAAATATTGATATGATCTGAAAAATTAAGATCTATCTATGCACTTTATTTAAAGCCACTACTAGTGAACTTACTCTGAAGCGTTCCGCATTTTCCGAGTTATCGAAAAGACTTAAATCAATATTACCCTCGTCCATGTCTCTTCTTGTTTTTTGTAGGATCACGCGATAGGCCAGCGCCTCAAATTCGCTAAGCTTCTCATCCACTTGGCACTGTTTTTCATCCAATGCCTCATGCAATTTGTCAATTTTTATTTTGGTCACATGCTCAATTTCCTCTTCTTTGCCCAATACTTCGTTGTATTTTTGCAATAAAGACTGATATTTTGCCATTAAAAATTCTAAATTTTCGGCCGAATCCTCTGTTATTGCGCGATACATATGTTTACGCTTATGATGATCGACGACTTTTCGATTAAGATACATACGCACGCCCTGCTCCTTTTCGAGTGTTCGAACTTTTTCATTAATTTCATCCATTAACTTTCGCTTGTCCACGGACTTACGCAAAATTTCTTGCGGATCCTTATACTGAGTTGCTTTGTTAACTATTTGAAATAGATCTTCAATGAAAGCAGCTACGATATCTTCGCACTGCCGCCGTGTATCGTCCACTATAAGCTGTTCGATATCTTGCAAGTCTACAGCTTGCATAATTTTCTGTATGTAATCCAAATCGAGTAGAGCATTATCCCCCTCTTCAGTTTCTTCTGAAACATCATGTCCCAACAGTTGTAGTAATTCACTGTCTTCGGTATTATCAAATAGTTCGTAACCATCGTCTTCCTCTTCGTAAGACTCTTCGATTTCCACAAAGTCATATTCATCCTCATTATCTGATTCTGATATGTCTAAGCCGGTTAGTGGATCCACAAATTTACCAGATAATGTCATATCAACCGTATTCGCTTCCACTTGTTCGATGATAGTTTCGGTGGACTCGGAAGAAATTTCATCGATATTTGGCAAACCCGCAAATTTATCCAAAAAACTCAGTCGCAGAGTATGTTCTAGCTGCACCAAGGTCTCATCAAGGTCCAAAAAATCTTCACATTCATAATCTTCATCATTGAATGACTCAACACTGGTTCTGACATGCAAACTAGTGCGATTAAGATCGTCAGTGGTAATCTTTGAGCTGCGGAACGATCGTTTGACAGTCCGACTTGATGTGCGAGACCTTCGATTCCTTCCATCTTGCTGAGGGTCATTCGACGTGTGTAAATCGGTATTCTGCATTTCAAAATGTGGCACATAATCTGTTTCGGTATTTTCGTAATCTTCACCGTAGTCGTTTTCTTGATCCATTTTGCCAAAATGTTAGAAAAACGAAATGTATAAAAAATTGTAAAAAAAAAATATAAAAAATATTTATAAAATGGTATAAAAAACAAAAAAAAAACTCCCAACTATATCAAACGACAGTCCTTAAAAGACTGAATTTTATTTCCATCAAATTTGATTTGAGAAAATTTGTAAACTACTTTTAAAGGAAAAATTAAAATTTTGTGAGTGTTGCAAACCTTCTTGGTTAGAAACATAGCCTCGGTACAATCAGAACAAAAAATTGCTTTTAGTAGTATTCTTCGGTTTCCAATATAGTTTTACGAATATTGTTGTGGTAGCAGTCCTTGTCCGTATATAATATAAAGTCGGATTCATTTCAGTTAAATATTGTGGTTCTATCCATTTTAAAAGTCAAGCGTTTGAAACTAAGACGAACGAAAAACAATTTATCTACAAGTTTAGGGTAAATGAGTAAATGAGCACAACGACACGAATTGTGCTTCTTCAAGACAATACAATCTATCACAAATCCAATACGACACCGACAAGTACCAACAAATCGAAAAAAAGGAGCGGTTTCCTGCGAATGAGAGTTTCTAAAATTTACAGGAGAATAAAATGTTGCAACCTCTTTCTCTATAATACAGTTTAAACACTTTAGATGAATACAATCCGATTCAATTAATAATTAAACCAGATAACAAAATGTGTATCGATATTGTCGATAATATACCTTTTAGGACTAGAACATCCCTAATTTATTTGCTTATATCTTTATATTATACTTTCTGAAAAATGACTAAAACAAAAAGAAGTTTTAGATTACTCATTCTGCTTTGTTGTATTTAGATCCCGAAAAAGTAGTAGAATAAAAGTAATTGCCAAAACATATTCAAAATCGTAAACTGATAAATCTACAGTTTGGCCAATTTTTCTTCATTACTTGTCATCTCGGTTAAGTATAAATGCTGTTGCTCCTCTTCGCTATCGCTCAGCCTTAGATCTGTCAATGATGTCACCAACGGCTCGCCTTCTAAATAGTCGTACGATTTTGTCTTTGAATTCACTGAATCATCGGAATCCGTAGACAACTCAGCTGGGTCGACAATTGTGTTGCGCCAATCTTTATCTGTTTGGCTACCACCACTTTTAACATTAACCGGCGCATATTCTTGTCCCCTTGCTTTTGAAAGGGATGAGCCACGCGATGATGTATCGCTTAAAGATGTCTCCTCAATGCTGCTCTGTTCGTTATCATCAAGTTTTGTGTAGTCGGTAATTTTCAAAATAACCGAACCATTTATTGTGCGCGTCTGATTCGATGGACGCTCTTGTTCGGTTTGTGTTGATTTATTTATGAGCGGTTGGCGACTATATTTTCTCCTGCTTCTTCTTCTGTCACGTGATTGTGACATTTTGCTTTGGTGTCCTGCAGATTTTGTATTGTTTTTAAAATTTCGAATGAATTTTTGCTAAACATTTTTACAGCTTATTTTGACTTCTAATTTACTTTTTCTTCATTGCGACACTTTCTTCTTATTGAAGTAACGCTGGTTCACTATAACTACTACAATATATTATGACTTATATATTGATTTAAAATGTTTTGTATGCTACTGACATGATAAAGGAAGGAAGGAGTCTTGCCACAACCCTGACCTTACAAAAACTTTAAGTAACTTTATTATTATTAGTCATTTGATGCCCGCAATTCACACAATGAAAAAAGTTGGTCAAGGAATTATGCAATAGTAGAGCCACATGATCGGACATATTGAAAAAAAGAGTTTTAAGAGACAGTGCTACTTAACTGATAAATTATCAACTGGTTTAGACAAAGCTGGAAACAGTCTCGTTAATTGTCAAAAATTTTGGCATTTTCGTTAAACCGCATCATTAGAAACCGTTCGTATTTTGAGATAATTGTATTCGCGATGCCTATCTCAAAATATATTCCACGAAATTTAATAAAAGTAACTTTCAATGACATCACGAGACCTAATGATCGAGAGCTAAGGCATTTTCTAAGCAGACTTTCAGACATTCTGTTAAACTGTTGTCGAGATGGATTTTACACTCATGACGAGTACAGTAACACTTCCCCGTGTAAAGACATTTCAACATTGAAATTTGCTACCGAACAGTTACAGATGCTGACGAAACATCTTACTCACCTACAAATAAGAAAACAATGCGCTTCCGACTGAATGAACTAAATGCCTCACCAAAATGTCCCACAATAATACCGATGAGCCATCATGTAGTCAAAATACATGACTTATATTGTTAGCTTAAGATCGGAAAACGATCACGCCTTAGATCTCCTGGATTCATAGTTCTCTATAATGACAATGAAGGGTAAAGTAAAGTATATCTCTTTCTAAGAGAGGAATTCAATTCATATAATTTTAATAATTTAAAATACATTGAGTGACAAAATTTTGATATTAAAAAAAAACAAGAAAAAATTGTAATTACATACATATATGCTATAGTAATCTGATCTAAACAATTGTTTTCGGCCAAATTTCTTGATGATATCTTGTCAAATAAAAATGTTTTCCATCAAGAACTTGATTTTGATCGATCACTGTTAAAGGCAGCTATATGCTATATTGATCCGATCTGAAGAATATATATGGAGATTGTAGCTTTGCCTTTGACAATAATCCATGCCAAGTTTCGTAAAGATATCTCATAAAAAAAACCTTTCCAAGGACATGATTTTAATTGATGGGTTTGTATACTATAGCGGTCCGGTATTGGTGGTTTAAACAAACGAGCAGCTTTTTCAGGAGAAAACAGTATGTGCAAAAGTTCAGATCGATATCTCGAAAACTGAGGGAATAGTTTACGAATATACAAAGGGACGGACAGGCGAACATGGATAAATCGTCTCAGCTCGTCATGTTGATCATTTCTATCTGTATATAATTTAAAGGGTCTCTAACGTTTCCTTGTGCGTGTTAAGTACATATTTCATGGCAGACTTAATTATTTTCTTGGGTAAAAGTACCTAAGTATATATATTGAAATGAAATTATATGAATGAAACACTGCCTTTTTATTTAAAAAAATGTGGATGATACCATCTACCCATATATACGAGAATAAAATAACGAATATAAGGATAATCATAATAAGACCAGTAAGATTGCATTTCTTTATCGACTCACCTGTAATAGTTTTTGGCATTCATCCGCGAACATAAACAAAACCCGAACGACTCTCAATATTGTCTCACATTGCAATAATATAAGCAAAAAGGCATATTTCATTTAAAAACATAACTTTTTGGTAGCACAAATGTTCTAAAATACAGTTTACTAATTTTTTTCTGCACAAGATTATAAAATTTTAATTAGAAATGGAATAATCACACTCACTCACGTACCGGTGGACGAATCGAGACGTTACTTCACACGTGATTTTTGCAAGCATTACACAATTAATAACTTTAATATATGTATATATTAGTACAACTTTACACTTTTAATTTCAGATATTAAAAAAAAAATGTTGGAGAAACCACTAAGTGAATTGTTTCGATTTGCTTGTTCACTGCAATTTAGTCGCTCAACCACGAATGTAAACAAAAGCGCAAGGCTGCATTCCTTAATGCAATATTCTGATACAGGGCGATACAAATAAAATACAATCAAATAGAACATTAATTTAAATATTGTACATACTTTTAAAAAGTGCATTTTTTTTTAATGCGTATTAAATATACATAAATGTGTACGTAAACAATTTAATATAATTATGAACGATCATACGATATATAGTAGTACCAAAAACCATAGAACTTGTAGTTAAATTTAAAGAACCAATTTGAACCTACTTATATTCAATAATGTATGGTATACCTGCGTACGCGATTGTAAGGTACTACCACTTCTACAACCGCAACGCCTTAAATTATGTTAAAGCCATTAGGGTTTCATCGGCCATATTGTCTGAATTTTAAACGCCCGAGCGCAAGTCAATGGCCCATAGCGGAGCATGCAAGAAATATAACCTACCATTTGGCGCAGTCAAGTGGAAGTATCGAATTGGCTGCACAATTGCTATTTGCTCTACACACAAATGCATGTATAAATGTAAGCACAAATAGGTACCTACACACACATATACCATACTAACGCTACTGGAGACGATGTTGGTTTGAAATTGATGAATTATGCATGAAAGTCGCTACGAAATTGCTTGTTTTCGTACATCTGCTAAATACGGCAATATAAGTATAAACAAAATGCAATATGTTGTAGTTGTTTTAAGAAAACACTTGTTATGTGAAAGTAATTGCTGGGCTGCACGTGATGGCTAAGCCGATAGACAAACAGGCGACACCGATAAAGAAAACATCTATTGGTATATATTTTAATATTTTTAATTGAAATCTAATATTTGATGCTTTCAATATTTTAATTTATAGGTATCTATATTAAAAAGTTGTATAAATTTACTTAATATAATTATTTTGAACAAAGCTTAAAAATTTATAAAACAAAATATAAATAAAAGGCGCTGTAAGTCTAACTATTAATACTTAATATTTCTGAAAATTTTAGATTATAAATTATAACGAATTTAGTTATCATTTTGACAGCGTTTCCCTATAAATTAATAAATTGATTACTTAGCCAATAGGAAAGCAATTGCGATAATTACTTATCATTATTCATACAACTATGTATTAATATTGGCGTATTACTAATTTTCACGTTTAGTAAACAATTTTTGGAGATTCCTTTGTTGAAGTGAAAACTTTTGCAAATAACATACAGATAAAAGGAAGAGACACAAGGCAATGAAAGAAAATTGATGAGAGTTCAGTGGTGTTACTGGTGTAATTAGGAAAATTTAATGGCTTCGCAACCAGTTCGTATTGCCTAATGTCGTTTGAAGAAAAAATTGCGTAAATTATTTAATGCAAAGACTATTAAAGTACCGTTCGATAGCATTAGTTTACAGTTAACTTCAATACTGTGCAACGAATATATGCAAATTTGTACTATAAAATATGGGAATCAAGACGATGTCAAAATATATTTTTTCCAACACTGTATGTATTGTATATGCGAAATAAAGTGCGGTATGTGATCAACTTCTGGAGAAAATAATATTATATTTGATTAAAAAATTTATAAGAATATACATTTTGGACTTAAAATGCTATTCAAAAACTTTATCAGAGAATATGCCGTCTTAAAACAGAAACAGAAACAGATGAAAAGGGTTCAATTTCTATAACTTACACTTATCTTGATTACTTCTTGATATCAAATACACGTGTCTATTAGATAATAGATAGACAACAGAATTTTCATTGTAGAATATTTCCTGTTTTTGTTTTAGTGCTCTCAATGTAAAATTGCAATGAATACACGAATATAAAGATCACTTGAGATAACGAAACGCAGATAGCACTAACTAAAGACGCATATTGTAGTTGTTGTAGGTGTGGAATGAGGGTCGCGATAGCGAGAGCTGCTATTATGAAATATTAAAATGGCTCCCTTCGATTGGTCATTTCTCAGATCTCATGTCAAAAAATTTAAATGTGAAAGCAACAACAAAGTTATTGAATTGAATTCAAGCAGGAGAGTATGCGGACACCTCATTAAAATGGTACAGCTCCTGTTATTTTTTCTAATATTTAAGAGAATTGTAAAATATTAACATAGGTATATATATTTCATATATCACATTTGATATTAATTGTTCCAAAAAAGTGAAAAAAACGAAATTTCGGAAACCCCCTCAGCATTATCTGGACAAAGTGATTATCTATCGATATACTTTTGATTTTTTGATATCAGATTATCCAGCACCAAGTTACTAGGAGCACCACAATTCAACTTTTTTCCAAGACGTTCCAGAGTAATTGTATTATTGCGGTATTTTTTAATGTTTCTCAATAGAAAATTTAACAAAATATTCTGCCAATGGCAAACTATAATGGACCATTCATTTTTAAAACAACATTTTAAATGTTTCTTGGATGGACCTTGTGCTACACAAATTAACCCTACTTCCCTTCTGATACGTCATTGTACAAGTTAAATATTTAAACACAGAAATCAAATTTGTGACAATTACCCAAAATAAATTAATTATGTGATTTTTTATAAAGTTATTTTATGAAAAAAACATTGAAATCGTTCTTTAAGAATCTGGATTGTCATTTTACACTAATTGTAGTATGTGGTAAATAAAAAGACATACATTATAAAAAAAGTAATTTAGCTTAGATATAAACAATTTGACTGGTACTTAAACAATACTGAGACAAGCAAACACAAAACCGTCTAGAAAGCTTTTTTAGTACGAAGTCTTATCTTTCTAAGGTTGCACAACGGAACCCGTTCGCACTTACACAACCCGAAATATACATAACTTAAGTTATCTATTGGAAAAATAATGGATTTTCTTACTAGACCTAATATATGAAAGAAGTCCTCATAGCAGACTATTTCCAGACATTTTACTCAGTTAATCTTACTTTTCACTTTACTTAAAAAGTCATATATTCCCGAAAAATCTTTAGTAAATATTAAAAGACTCTAAAGTTTATCGTTAAAAACACGTTCAGGCTTGACATGTAAAGACTGAAGACCAACATTGCCGTACTTTAAATCACTGGATATTCGTCGAAAGCTCCACCTAAGTAACAATAAAGTCATAAAGCACACAACAGCTTCTGTTATAAAATATGAATCACAAGTGATTAGTGCTTACTACAAAGCAAAACAAAAAAAACAAGAAAACGCGTTTACTTCGATTGCACTGAAACTAAAATACCTTTCAAATATACAAAAAAAAAATGTATACAAGAACTTAATTTGATCGGTCAGTGTGTATGGCAGCTATATGCTTTAAAGGTTCGATCTAATTTAATTAATCAATTTCTTCAGAGACTATACCGTTATCTTAAACAACGATTCGAGACAAATGAAGTGAAGATATCTCCTAATATGAAAAAATTTTCTATGCAAGTGCTTGATTCCGACCGTTCAGTTTGTACAACAGATATTTGCGATAGTGGTCCAATCTGAAAAATTTCTTGGAAGAGAAGGAACGGAAAATTTCAAATCGACATTACTAAAACTGAGGGACTAGTACGCGTATATCACAGGCAGACGGACATGCTTAAATTGACTCAGCTCGTCATGCTAATCATGTATAAGAATATATATACATTTTACGAAGTCACTGACGTTTACTTCTGAGTAATACAAATTTTGTGTCAAACTTAATATACCTTGTACAGGGTATAAAAACACATGAGTACAGCGTCAAACATGACGGGGCAACAAACAATTGACTGCAGTTACTCAGCATGCGTACTTTTTTAGTAATAAAAACATGCATACTCAATTCTAACACAATTTATTCTGTCACTCACTACTCGCAATGCATAACAAAATACAATATTTTATTAAGTCAAAAGCTCTTCAACACTCTAATTGCTTGTTGTGAAATAAATTGCAACTTGCCATACACGCTGTATAGAAAATATATTTAAACAGTAATTACAAATATACTGATTAAATAGGTGTGTATCTAAATAAGTGACATTGTAAATATTTGTATAATATATTTGCAGCTTAATACTATTCGATTTTTACTCAAAAGCACCGCGATAATAGAGCCATGGCAAGACAACTTCGGCGTGTTCTCGATATCGTTTGCTCGTATACATTCGCTTTTTGAAGTCCACACTTTCTGGAGTAGCTCCCAGTAAGTTCTCAAGAGTAGCTTCAGGGGTTGGTTCGAGAAGCACAACCGCCATATGACCATGAGCAGCAGATAAAGCTTTAAGATAGTGATAACAGATATACGATTTAGCATACAAAAATAAAAATAAAAAATTCCAAAAAAATTTCGAAATAATTTCGAAAATGTAAGCAAAATAATTGTAAAGAAGTTAAAGGAAAGATGTATAATGAGAAATGATTATGAAGATTATTAAACTATTTATTTTTGGTACTGATATTTTTCTAGTATCAAAAAAAAAATTTTTTTTTTTAATTGGAAAATTTTAAAAAATTATTTTGAAACATATATTCTGTTAAAACGTTGTTAAAATTAATGAAATGAATCTGAATGCGTAAAATTTAAAAACTGAGTATTCATTCCCATTTACACCAACTACTCACCAAAAACACCATGTTTATAAAGCGCTATGTGAATATCCTTCAATGTGGGCAGCTTATTTGGATATTTCAGCAGCTTCAAGTATTCAACTAGATTATCATGATAATACTTCACGAAGTAATCAAAATGTTTCAGCTTGATTTCCAAGCTCGTTGAGGATATAAGCAAATTATAGAGATCATGCACCGGTGAGCCATATCGGCAACACTGAAAATCGACGAAATATGTTTCCTTGAACTTGCCGACAGCATCATATTGAAACATTATATTGTTTGCCCAGAAATCGCCATGATTTAGTACATTAAACTCATTTGGATCGCCGTTCAATATGGACACAAATTCTTCAAATAGTTTTTTTTGACATTTTTCCTACAGGGGTGATAAGTTGAATTTAAATATATTATATATTTGGGCAAAACTGTTAAAGTCGCAAATTAGTATTTTACTTGATAGCTATCGCATGTGTCTATGAACTTTTTATAAAACAATTTAACACACTTTAAATATATTTACTTTTGAATACATTTAATTTGAGTTCTCATGTTTAAATTGAATATTTTATGCTGACTTTTAGAGGCATTTCTCCTCTAAAAAAATGTTTGCATACTTAGTTAGTTCAAAACAGCACAAGAACAATTCAATTTAAAGCTTGAAAAATTAAAAATGCTAAGACGAGATAGGTTCTTTTATCGAAATATATGCGCATACACACTTACCATAGCATCTACGTACACTTCGTGTCCGTTATAAGTGCGAACACACTCGTTGAATAATTTTGCGGATTGCTCATTCATATCTCTCATCATTATTATCAATTCTTCGGTGAATATGCCAGTGCTTACAACTTTTGGATATTCACCTTTGAGCGCTACGCGTGCAGCGGTTCCGGCATGCCATTGCGCCAACTTTTTCAATGCCCTTTCGGTGTGTTCTTTGTCGAAGCCCTCCAAGCGTTTAACATTTTTACAGCCACGCAACCGCAAATCTTCCATAAGGATAACACCAAATTCGGATGGTGTTTCGAGTTCATAATATTTTGGACCGAATTTCACTTCAACACCAGCATCGCTATAGAGCTTTTCCAGCTCTGGTATGACAACACGATACATGTTGCTCTCTACATCGAATACGTTGGTACCCTTCAATAATTTCTGCACATATTCTATTGGCAATTTTAACATATAAGACACCAGCTTCGTATTTCCAGCTAAAATTTAGAATATCTGTTAATATTGTACAGCATTTGAAGTTCAAGATCAAACTCAACTTTTCAATTCAACTTCCAATTGCACTGAGGTCATAATCGTGCTATAATTATCCCCCGCCTCTTGTGTTGGCTTGATGGTGAAACTTTTTATCTGTTTGAAATCGGAAACATTTTGCTCGAGCAGTTTTACAAATAAATCAGCCTTAAGCCAGTCGGGAATTTGACTAACATTAGTAGTGGTTGATTCTGTTGCAGATTTAACCGTGTTCGGTTCGATCTTATTGTTTACATTTGCATCAGCTGTTGACATGTTTTTTTTCTCTCGATTCGCTCACGAATAGTCTTTTACATATATTTCGTCACAAAATTTCACGAATTTTATTTTTACAGTACGAGTTGTATGTCTGACACGATCAGCGTCTGGCGCGAAACTATTTGTATAAAAGATTCGCACTGCCACAAATGGTGAAAAAAGTCAACTGACTAAACTTTATTACTACATTTGCTAACTACAGATATATAGGTGTAAGCACGTGAGAGCACACAAAATGCAATAAAGCTTTCTGAAGCCCTTTTAAATATGCATGTGTGCAAGCTGGTGTCTGATAATTGTATTTCATCAATTAATAACTTTATGCAATTAGATTAAAATACTTGTTATAATTTAGAAACATGACGCAATTCATTAGACAGCACTACAATTTCACCTTTTTGAAAATATATTTTTTTATTATGTTTCTACAAGTATTATGAATATTTTATTATATAATTTTTATATTATATAGAATGTGGCGACAAAATAATAACGGTACATTCGTAATAACACTCATTTCATACCTAAACAATATATTTATTAATTAATTAATATATAATTAATACATATAAGGTAATTTAAGAAAAGTGGCAACACTGTTCCAACTTAAATATAATTAAGAATTAATAAAAACTTAAACTCATAAAAATGCTTTAAGTTTTTGCAATCAATTTATAATTTTGAAGCTTTTTTATTAAAAACAGCTTATAACACCAAACAATAATTTATAATTTTCTATTATTATTTTTTTCGATAAAGTTTTCACAAATGACTTTCGTTGATAGCCGATATTGTGAATATTTATTTAGGTTACTTTATTAATTATTAGAACAAAACAAGAAAAAAAAATAAATTGGCAACACTCTCAAAGTTTTTGAAAACTTAACAATTTTAAAATGGTTTTTTATGTACATAACTACACTCCAATAGTTCAATGTACATTAAGAGTAAACGTAAAGTATTTATTTAGAAGCTGTTTGCTCCTCTGTAGCCCACCTTGAATGGGAATTTACATTTTCAGTGCAACTGCACTCATGTGGTGTATTTCAATATAAAAATTTCAAAAGCAATAAAATTGAAAAATAAATCGCATCGAGTATGCGAAATGCAAATGTGGGTGAGTGGTATGTTTCAGTCATTGACCCTACATAAGTCAACCAATATTAGCAAAATACTATACTTCGGAAATTTTTTGTTTATAACTCACCTAAGTCAAGAAAAATGAGGGATAATGCGAATGGGGGATAGTCTCAAGTGAAAATATATTTGTGGTTAACTAGTACAGAATTCTGAAGCTCTAAAAATATTTACTTAAAAAATTTTTCTGAATTATAATGACCCTAAAACCAGTTATGATAAAGTGAATACCTTTACCACCAAAACTATAATACCCTTCACAAGTGCATTTTTTATAAAATAAAAGGGTATAAAAAGATATGTTTATTGATTTTGATTGGTCAGTTTAATTGCAGCTATGTGCTATAGTACTCCTATCTGAGCAAATTTTTATTAAATTTTGGCGATGCTTCAGATAATAAAATATGACAAATTTTTTGAGGACGTCCCGTTAAATGAAAAAATGATAAGTTGAGGGTATAAAAATAATATCTGTTCTGTTTCCCAACCTAATAAATGGTATAATAGTGCGAAAATTATCTAAATTGGTGTGTCCTAAAAATAACCGAACATTTTGGATATAAAATAAAATGTCCATTATATTATTATTGAAAGCTATTACTTATTCAAAATAGGTTCCAATACGCCCAATACAATGTTTGGAAAGATCAACGAGCGCACGCATAGATTTTTTTTTTGTCATTTGTAGGAATGTTTTTCAGCACTTCGTAAAACTCGTTTACTTTTTTTGTATTCGTTTAATGTATGTGAACAAAACACCTTTACCCAAATCTGCAGTTGAAATTTACCAAATTTGGTGGTATTTTTACTCGTATTTAATCAGTCATTCAACATTCTCGTAGTAAAATTTGCATCGACAACAATAATTTATTTGGTAATAACTGTTGCAACTGATAATAAATGCAATTATTGTAATGTATTATAATGTTATGGAGTAAACTGCCGCNTGCATCTGCGTCGAGCAATGTCTCCAATTCTTCGTCTTGAAATTTTGTTGGCTGTCCGGATCGTTCTCCGTCGAACACACTTTATCAGGTACAAATTTCGACATTTTCAAATGAATGAAACAAATTGTTGTTCACGCTCAAACAATTTATATCTACTGAAAACGACGCGAAATGGCAGTACCTTTGAAATGAATATAGCCACAGATGAATACGACGCGAAATAATACTAGTAGAGCCCTCTCTTAGAAAACCGCACGAATTAATGCATAATTTTTTCATTAAAAACAGATGGCAACACCAACTAATAATTTATAATTTTATATTATTATTATTTTTTTTTGATAATGTTTTCATAAATGACAAATAAGCAACACGTATAAGTAAATTAAAAAATTGGCAACCCTGCTTAAACTTTAATTTTATTTAATTAGGAAATTATATAAGTATTTTCAAATGATCAATTTATTATCTGAAAAATTTTTAATAAAAAACACCTAACAATAACACCTAACACCTAACAATAATTTATATTTTTTTTTTCGTTAAAGTTTTCATAAACGAATTTCATTGACCTCCGACTTTGGGAATATTTATTTAGTTTAGTTTATTAATTATAAGAACAAAATAAAAAAAAAAATTGAGAACACTATCAAAGTTGTTGAAAACTTAACAAATTTCAATTATTTTTTTACGTAACTTCCTTTCAATAGTTCAATGTACAGTAAACGTAAAGTACTTATTTAGAAGCTGTTTGCTGTATGATTCTGAATAATTTTGGCACATATAAGATTACACAATAGTAACAGTTTTAACCCGCAATTCACTCGAAGCTTATGTCTAACATAGTTTATAGCAAAAGCTTTTTTATAACGTTTAACCATTCCTCGACAACTTTAAAGCTCCGAGCATTCTAGAGTGAAAGAAGCCGTCAAAGTTGCGAAAGAAGTGTTTGTATTCAAAATGTCAAAAAAAAAACAGTTTTTTGTTTTTCTTATAAAATTTCTGTTCTCTTTGTTCATTTGATGATTTTGTACTCAGTTATCACTCAAAAAACGCATTTTCATTGGTTGAAATCTTAAAGAAAAATTTTTTGAATCATAAAATCAAAATAAAACGGCTGATTTTGACATTATGGATCCAATTACTTTTGACAAATTGTTGTTTTTGTTCTATCGACACAACATTTTATAATTGAATCAGGAATAGTATATAGAGAATCTCAAATTCAAAAAACCTTCTTTGTTCTGTTCTTCAATTCAATAAAGAAAGTGGTTGTCCACATCAGCTTACGCGTGAAAAACTTTCATCTACAGGAATTAGAAAATATTACACAAAACACAATACATATATACTCAACTTAGTGGTAGAACAAAGTACCAAAATTGTCTAAATACGAGTACAAAGTGTATCCTAAAAATAACCAAACTTTTTGGATATAGAATAAACGAAAGCTAATTTTTGTTCAAAATAGGTTCCATTACACTCAATACAACGTTTGAAACGATCAACTATCGCATACATAAATTTTTTATGTCATTTATAAGAATTTTCTTCAGCACTTCGGTTACAGCTGCTTAAATGCCTAGGATATTATCATAAAATGCTACTTTCATATTGGCTTTTAGTTTCGAAAATAGAAAACAGTTATATGGTGTTCGTTTAACCAAATCATCATAAAATTTTTTCATTAATTCGTATGTCTCAGCAAATTTTTTTCTTTTCAAGTTTAATCCAGAATTTTATATTTACTCTTTTACATGAAGTTAGGTGCGTTTGAAAGAAGATGAACTGCAAATTTTCAATAAATAACGCTACTAGTTGTATGATTTAAACATAAATTTCGGTAATTTTTGAGACACACCTTATACCTCTTGTAAACAAACAAAACGAAAGGACAGACTTCGTTCCTAAAATTGACCAAAAGAAGACCAGATTTATTTGAATTAGTCTCCAGATGCAGAAGAAGATAAACTAATTTCCATTTTGGTCGGAAAAAATTAGAAATAAGCGCAAAAATGAAGTGGTCTAAATGCATGAGTAGTTGTTTGCTTATATCGTACCGATTGTCATGGAAGTCGGTCTAAATACATAGTTTTATAAGATATATACTAAGTTGAAAATTAGATCAATTTATTAAATAGTTTCAACATCGATATTTGTTAACTTTTTAAGATATATTTTTTTCAGATAGTTGGCAACGACTGAACTTTTTTACACTTTTTTAACAATTTTTACACTTATTTGGTAATAACTGTTGCAACTGCTAATGAATGCAATTATTGTAATGTATTATAATGTTATGGAGTAAACTGCCGCAATGTAGCCGATGGTGTTTTTCTAGCTGTCATACAGTTCATGAGCAACTGCACTGAAATTCAGTTGTGGGCATGAAAATGCGTTTTGCATCTGTTGCACACCATTATTTCCTCGAGAACAGTTGAACAAAGCAACAAACTTTTGGACAAAATAGCCAAGAGCTGACATTAAAATTAGAAATACGCCACAAAAAAATATAAAAAACTAAATTGTATTATACTGCGTCATAAAGTTTTGGCACTACTTCATTCATTAAAATTACATCACTTATATACATAACATTTACTACCACATTTGAAAGAGCATGTATATTGTATAATACAATAATTTGTTGCCAGTTGTGTAACGGCATAACTGTTTATGTTAAAATTTATTGTTCCTAAGTAATAAACTTAATATACACCCTTATTTGCATACCAAAATGGATGGCCTAAATGTGAAATAAATTTAAGGAATATAATGTGAAGGCTATTTAGCTAAATGATTGATAATCTATTTGTTAATATTGAGGAAGTTTATGATGTTATCGCAAACAATATTATTAGAGCAATTTACTGGAATATTCAAATTAAACAACTGCAGATAATTTATGAGCATTTCGTAAACTTCTAAATTTATTGGTAAACAATTAAATGGCTGAAAATAAATGAATTTGAACAACAACAGTTTGAGTCTAGGAATACATATGCCGCACGCACACTTCTTTCTTCAAGAGCCACAAAATCGAACGTCATACAAACTTTGTACCAAATATGGGCCAATCTACTTTCATAAGTTGCTATTAAGGCGAATTTTTCACCAGCAAAATTCTTCGCCATAGACAGGAGCAAGTCGTAATCACTTGGTGCTACATACAATACATCTTCTTCTTCTTATATCTGGCCTTCTTTAAATGATTCCAAACTTTTTTTTGCTTATATGACGGTGGTCGATGGTTTTCATTATTAAGTCCATATTTTCGACCATTTTCCTTCTTTGACATCAAAATTACTGGAACGACCGTGTAGTGCTCACCTCTGTACTTAAACGAGGGTAAACGATGAAAAAGACACTTACACATGCCTCTACTTATCTCATTACTCGGAAGCTAAAAAGCGTTTCTTTAGAGAAAACCCTCAGTTATTTTTTTAAAATTATCACCATATATGGGTGCTTAGATTTTTACTTCTACTTTTGATTTGTTTAATTTTTCATTTAAAAATAATTTTATACACGGGGGTTACGCATTTAATTTCAGTAATTAAATTACTGAATACTAGTAAAACACGTTAAAATATATCTTGATATAAATACAAGTATATATTATAATTATACTTTCATTTTGAAACTGTAATCTCGAAATACGGTCACCAAGTCATGCCGGAAGAACCAACTTTAGTTTTACGTAAAAAGAAGAAAACACATACTTATGTGAAAGTAGCGAAAGATGAAGACGAAACCGAACAACCCAAAGACCTGGACGCCTTTTTACGCACACAAAAAAGTGAAATCTCTTTGCCGGAAAGTATTAAATCAAGAGCGGGGCGTTCATTTACAGCTGAAGATGGCCGTGAATCAGATGTTATGTGGCGAATATTTGACGACACAATGTATGAGAGCGATTATTCAACTACGGAAACGGAATCCAGTGTATCGGGACATGCGATCCCAGTAATGGAGAGTATGTATGTTGACTTACTACAAGTTTATGGAGGTATACCAGATATCGACGAGGTTTCCGAAGACATAGACTCTCGAAAAAGTGTTCGCACTATAGTTGAAGTTGAACAGCGGCCTACCGACGAAGGAATATTTGTGGATCCACTTACTGGTGATACTTTAATAGAGCGAAAAGTGCCACACATTCCAACTGATGTCGTACCCGAAGTTGGAGAAATAGAAGACGAAGAAGAGGAAGAAGAAACTGAACCAGTGGAATTGCAACCGGACATCTCGATGTCTGAAGATAGTGAGATACTACAATTATTGGAACTCGAAAAAATGGAAAAGGAAGTAGTAACCAAAGAAGTGCTTCAAGCAGATTCTTTAGACGATTTTTTAACGAAACTAAAGGTGACTATAGACGAGAAACCAAATTTTATGCAGCTAAATGTAGAAAAGCTCGAACGTGAAAGAATACATCAAATAATGATGACGGAAGCTGAAAATTTCTTAAATACCCTAATCGGAGAGGTTGTGGATGCCGTCGAGTATAAACAACCTATGGAAATATTACGTAATAATTTAGATAAACATGCTGTGATGGAAGAAATCCTAGAGAAGGTGAACGAATTAGAAGTGGAGCGTACCGTACGTGCCATCCTCAATCGCAAAGCTGTCGAATTCTATAAACGTAAAAGATTCTATCAAGCGATTACAGACGATTTACCAGATCAAGTTATGGAGTATAGAGAAAAGCTCAATTATGCCACGAAACAGTTGGATCGGGCACTCGGATTCGAACATGCGATGAAAAAGAAATGGGAACTCGAACAAAACCAATTAAATGAAAAGCTCACGAAGATGCAGGAAAATGCAAAAGAGAAAGAGGACGAATTTAAATCATTAGTACTGCAGTCGCTTGTAAAAAACAAAGGAAATTCCGAAACAGTGAGTTAATATTCATAAAAGGAATACCAGAAACTAAAATTGAGAACAAAAATTAGATAATTAATTTAATTGCATATTATACTTTCATTCCGTTAGATTATTTCGAATATTTTGAATGAAATGTTTACAACATATAATGCAGTGTGCAAAACATATCTCGCTCTCATCCAAATACAACACACGAAAGCAGAACTTCAGAAGGTAAATATAGTTACCAAATTAGATCTACTGTATATATAGATAAAAAGGTGTAAAGGGTACCAGTTGTATTTGGATTATATTTTTATAACTGCTAAACTCAAAATTGGAACGTCGCAGTTTTCGAAAACCAAGAATTTGAGTCGAAATTTAGAATAAATAAATTTTAAAGAAATATTCAAATTATTGTTGAAAAAGCTAACTGCTTTAAAGGTCTTAATCTTTATTTTTATAAGTTAGCTTAAATGATAGCTATCTGCAATAATGGTCCGATTTAAACAACAACAAATTTCGTGAAGATATCTTGTCAAATAAAATGTTTTCTTTACAAGGACTTGCCATCTCAAAAACTGAGGGACTAGTTCACATACATACAGACGTACAGTTTTTGAGATGTATATATATATATATACATAAATATATATATGTACATAAAACCAATATCCTTTCGCAAAATCTTTCATAAAGTGGATGGACACAGCTCGGATTGTTGCGCGCGATAGCACATGGCATCATTCGAGTTTTCTTCGATACTCTGCTCTACAGCAGCACTACTGTATACAGTGCTGGATTAACTAGATTAAATGTGGTGCGAAACCAATCCATGATAGCTCAAATTATCGACATTACTGAGCGATTATGTCGACCAAAACCGCGACCGTTGTGCATATCGCGAACAGAACCCCTATTTTGGTAATATATTTGCACGATTTAATAACGTTGTTCCGAAATAAGTTTGTTCATTGTGAAACTGAGTATTAATCAACAGCTGTCAAACGACGAACTCCGAAAAAAATATTACCTCATTGTACACCACACATCTAAAAATAAACACCCGTTACTTTATAATGTCTCCCACGTTTCCTTCTGGATGTTACAAACTTCGTTGAAAAACTTAATATACTCTGTTCAGTGTATAAAAACTTTTCTTTGTTGCTGCCGAATCCAAGACCTCTCAGTGAAAAGCAATAGTTTGCGATTAAATCTTACAAATTAAAATACATATATGGTCTACTTAAGATTTTTCGTATTTACATTTGGTTGGACCCTGAAAAACCTATACTTTATGAGTACTTAAGGTCAGATAATTTATCAGAAACCAATATTTTGCTTTTCCAAATATATATATCTTTTTTAATATATTGCATACGGATAATTTACTATTGAACTTGACTTTCAGAAAGACGATTATATAGAATACGGCAAGGGACTGAAACAATATGTGATCTTACAAACGGAAACAAAAGATTTGCACAAAAAAGTTGAAGGTATACATACAAATATTTAATTAATATATAGAAAACTACTCTGAATCCTTTTTATTGTCGCTTTCATTTTCCAAATAGATCGCAGCGTGGAATTGGGCTTTGTTCGTGCGCGTTGTAATCGGGATATTCATGCGCTCTCAAATATAAAAGTCAAAAGCGATATTGTGCGCATTATAAACGGCATGAAGAAGAAGACGCTTGCCTGTTTGTTGGTGGATAAGAAAGAATCTCGCGAGAAATTAGTTCACTTGAAAGAAGAACACCTGCGTTTACAGCGACAAATACGAGAATTAACATTTCAAACTGGTTTGTCCAGCAAACCGGTGCTGTTGAAAGATTATGATTCCACCGTTGAACAAGCTGAACTGTTGGCTAAAAATATTTCGGCGTTGCGTAAGCAGAAAAAGGAGTTATTGGTTAAAATAGCTAAAATTGAAACAAAGTGTAAAGAAAGGGAAGCACGCGGGTAAAAAATAAACGAGACATTTTTCACACTTGTGGAAAACCACACGAATTTTATTTTTATTGACGTTAGAGCATTTTCCACTCCCCAACGAATAGAAATTTTAGGTTTTCAATTTGGGCTTATTAGGTGGAATGCTTATTTCCGAAGTTTCATATATGAGACTTTTAAAGTTAAAATGAACATATTAATAAATCAAAAAATGTCGAATAGTCCTTTACAATATGAAGAAAAATTTATTGTAATTTGTTATCTAATATAGCTCTCAGAATCTCGACCTAAAATACAGAAGTACGTTTGAAGCTAGAGTCTTCAGAAAAATGTTCGCTAAAGAACCCTGTTTTTCTACCTAATTCTCAGTAGACTCTATCCATCAGTCTAGATTTTCCGAGATTAGAAAACAATATACCATCTGCTCATATTTGTCCCGGACTGACCAAAAACTTAACTTTTTCACAGTACACTTGTTATAAGCATCGACCTAGATGGCCCTTAGTGCTTTCAATGAAACACTTTTTCAATGAACTCATGGCACGTTCCCCGAATTGGATTTTTCATTTTCGAAAAAATCGTAGGGAAATCGCTTCAAAACTACCAAGTAGTATTCCTTATTGACCAGAAAAATATTCGCATAATCTGATTTTTGACCGACTTTTCGGCTTCGCCTCATTTTGGAGCGCCGTTCGCTCATAATTACAATATTCATAAACCTGCGTCTCGTTACCGGTAATGGTGCGTTTGATTAATAAAGGATTTCAGCTACCTTGTCCACCATATCTCTTGCGACCTCTACTCGAAGTCGATTGCCCAAAAGAATCCAGTCTTTTGTTACGAGTCTAGCAATAACACACACTTCATTCCCAAAACATTAACCCAAAAGTGTTGAATCGTTCTGTAAGAGTTGTTGAGATCTTCAGCTATCTCTCTGATATCAGAGAAACTTTTCACATTGTAAACAAACTTGGCAGCTGTTTGACATATGGATTCGAAGTAGTTAAATAGAGTTTAAATAGACTAGTCCGACTCTAATTTGATCGGATGGTATTTGAATACGAATAAAAAGGTGCTCTAAAAATATTGACCAGCACTTGAAAACCAACACTAACTCTAACAGTACGAGTAGGTTCTTCTATTTTTGTGCTTGCATTCAAAGAAGGGGGAAAAATATGCGATAATTAAATACTTCGCTAAAATGTACTATACAAAATAAATATATATTTTAATCACACTGGTTTTATGCTTCATCTAATTTTAAACACATTATAATTTAAGAACTCTCCATAATTTATACGGACTTTAATTCTATACATATCGAATACATTTGTTTAAAAAACATATATATTTTAGTGTTTGTTTAAATGAAGAAAAAACGTATGAGCAAAAAGATTGTGGAACATGATAATAATAAACATATCGGTTTGGCGGTTCAAACTATTGGTTATCAACCCGTAGAAGAATCTGTTCATTCATCAATCACCGAAGTGGAACAAGGACAGAATCAACTGTTACGAATGAAATCTCAATATAAGATTAATGAGACGGCACAAGAAGAGCAAGTTATCGACCACCAAGAACCAGAAAATAAAAACCAAACTGAAGTTATATATTCAAACTTTTCATATGTATCGTTGCTGAGGAAGTTAAAACATTTTAAGAAAAAGCCTTCAGTACTAAAATCTTATTCGTCTTCGTGGCTTCAAAACTTTTTTCCATTGCCAGAATTAAGTAATACGCCAAATCTTGAAGAAAGTCAAAGTTCTACCGAATCATACGCTGAGCTGCTAACGGACATTAATATTTATGAAACAAACGAACCATTTTTGAAAGAAGACAATAATGAGGTCTCAACAGATTTCACTTCGGAGACGATTGAAGACGATGAACTGTTAGCCTGTCCAAGCAATTATTTAGAAACCGAAACGAAAAAGGAATTAAATTATGAAGATATTCATAATATAACACTGGCAGATGACGAGGAAGATCCTAACAAACCCCAGATGTTATCGCAAATACAAGATTTAATGAGTGAGCAGATAGCGTCTGACACGGTATTATTTCTCAGTGCACTTATTGATGAAGTGGTAGACAAATACGAATGTAAATATAGTGAACCGAATATGTTGCTTCAACATAACCTCAACAAGCCCCTATTAATAAATCAATTAATAAAAAAACTCGCCCAACTAAAAGTTGAGCGAAAGAAACGCGTGTATCTAATTAAAAGTGTAGGCATGTTTTGTAACAGCAAAGGACAATATCGGGTTTTTGCTGAAGACACTCCGCAGAGCATTGAGGCACTGAAGCAAAACTACCAAGATACTTTAATGAAACTCGATATAAGTTTAGAAAAAGAAGAAAACCTTAAAATAAAAGTGCAAATGAAGAAAATGGAGCTTGAGGGCAAGCTGTCATTGCTACAGAATAAAAACGATACAAAATTGCTGGAATTGGAACGACTCGTTGAAGAAACCATTGGCAACAAAAAAGAGCACTTAAAAATGGTAAATATTTTCTTTAAAAATTATACATTTTAGATTTATGTTTATTTATTAATAGATTGTTAAGACCGAACTAAGTGCCATGAGCAAGCTACGAGATGAAGTATCGGCACGACGTTGCGAGTTGATCCGAAAACAGCATACGCATATCGTACTTAAGGAGGTTAAGTTTAATATTTTTATTAATATTTCCAAACTTAAATAAAAAAATTTTAAATTATACACAGAAAGTAGAGAAATTCAGAGATCTAAGCGACACCGTGACGTTTTCTGACTATGAGCAAATGTATGGTTATGTTCAGGAGTTGGAACAGAAAATGAGAGGCAAGAAAATGTTACTTTATTCAATACTGATGCATTGTTGTGTTTTAACATTCTACTTCTGCAACACATATGTATTTTCAAAGAACGTAATGCTCGATGGGACAGAATGAAATCACGCTTCCATAAGGCTCTGCATTTAAAGGGACACTACAAGGAGCAGCAGACTTCACTACAATCGAAAGTTAAAATCCAAAAATCGATACTCCAGCAATTGCACCGGGAAATGCATACTACTCGGGATATAGTTTCAAAACTGAAGAGAGAGCGAACGCGCATAAAAAAGCAGATTTCAAAAGTGCATATCGAATCTAGCTTATTCGATAAGCCAGCATTATTAATGGACTACGACGCGACCTTAGAGAAAATAACCAAGGCCAAAATAGATGTGAAGTATTTGCGTCAGCAACATGATAATATTATATGTAAAATAGCACAACTTGAACGTAATAACTTATTAAATTTTTGATATTTTTTCATCGCTTAAAACATTCTTTCAGGCGTTTGTTTATTTAGATCACTAAAATTATTTACCAGAAACTTTTAAATGTGGTCTAATGTGTAGGGATCTCCACATTTTGCGCACACTGCACAAATGCGTCGAAAACCTACATCTAGAATCTAGCAAGGATAGTGGATTCAAGATGCCCCTTATTTTTATTTTAGTTCAAGGTATAAAGAGTTGCGATACTCCAGATCTGACTAATAATATGGATCCCAAGAAAAACAATATTCGGTCTTGTAACGTTACACTTAAGGCTTTAATTTCCTGAATTACTATTTCAGACACTTTGACGAAAGCGTATTTCCTCGTACAGACGGTTAATGCTTTCTCACTTTTGGTAGGACTCAATTTCGCCAAATTCCAAGCACGAGATCATGCAAAGAACAAGTGATCGATAAGCGACTAACTGTCATACATACTTGGATAAATGGACTTATTATCAGAACCGTTCTTGAGACCACACTGTTTAAGTATTACAAGTTTTAAGGTAATTGTCATTTCGTCCAGTACCAAAAAAAAATGAATTGTGTTCGACCGTAGTTCGAAGCTACCAATACTGAGAACTTAACTTTCTCTTGATTTCGTAGTGGGCTAGAACCAACGCTTTTCACAAACTATCACGAAGATATTCAAAAAATGTGGTCTACAGAACTAGCAACCAAAACTATTTAAACCCAATACGTAGTCTACTTGTTCATAAGCCATATAATAATTTTGACACAAAAAAAAAGATATACTTGTAAAAATTTAATTTTCATTACACGCAACATTACAACTGGTTAGTCACATGAAAAACATATTTTCATTGCTATATTAGAATCATACAATTATATTTTGTAATACCAGCATTTAACATGGAGAAAGACTCCGTTAGAATTGTAGAGGGGGAAGATCTCGCTTCTCATAAAAAAGAAGATTCAAAGTACAATTTTCAAGTAGGGAAATCAGTGCTTAAGTCTAGTAAAGTATTGGAGCCCGAAGCCCTGGAGGAAAGGATATCGATTGAGGAAACGGCAAAAGTCACAACTGTGTTTGAAGTACTTGACGAAGATCTGTTGAGCAACGAATCTGAATCAACAGTATCATCGCAGGATGTGCGAGAAAGTGAAGAATCATCTGAGGATTTTTTTGAAAAATTAGGCACCCTACCAGATTTAGATGCAATTGCTCAAGAACCACAGATAGGCAAAGATATTGGTTCATTTGTTGATCCACTAACCGGTATGATGTATGAAAGTACCGAGGAGGGAGAAGAGGAGGATGAAGAAGGAATGGTTGAGGAAGAATCTTCCACCACAGAAGAGGAAGATATATCTGAAGATGAAGAATTATTGGAATTGTTAAAACGAGATGAAGAGGTGGAAGCGCCAAAGGTAGTAGACGAAGCAGAGGTTTTCGAAACATTTATGGAAATGGAGAAAAAGCAAGTTATTGAAGAAATAACAGAGTTCGATTGGATTGCATACGAGCGTGAAAAGGAATTAAAAAGTATAGCGGGGGATACGATTATATTTCTTAAAGAACTAATCATAGAGGTTGTTGAAAAGTCTGAATACGTCGATCCAAATATTTTCTTAAGGCAACATTTGGACAAAGCCTCACTTATTGAGGAGATAACCAAAAAAATGAAGCTGCTTGAGGTGGAACAGAAGGCTCGTAGCTTTCTCAATCGGCGTGTTGCCGAATTTTTCTATCGTAAAGGGCAATATCGTGTCTTTACCGATGATCCACCAGAAACCATAGTCGACGAAATTAACAAGCTAAAAGATGCCACAAATAAATTGGATCAAATACTTTGCCGGGAGGAAGAACTTAAGAGTACGACTCAACAAGAAATTTTTAACATACAGCAGGATGTGTCCGTATTGCAAATAAAAAATCAAGAAAAACTGCAGGAGTTCGAACAACTTGTGAAAAAGTCTTTAGCTAATAAGGGTGAGCACTTAACATTGGTAAGATTGAGCAAGTTTTAGAGTTATGGGGACATTTCTATAACATTTTCGTTTTTGTGTTTCTATAATAGGAGGTCGATAAGGATTTGCGAAAGATGGCCAAGTTACGTGACGAAATCTCAGATGTGCGGTATATTTTAGTACAGAAACAACACTCAAACGCCACATTATCGGAGGTTAGTAATAAGATTTACAAAGTTAATATTAATAGACATTTTTCTTTACTTGTTGCTGGCTCCAGATACTTTTTTTAATAACTTCAAAGTTTTCACATTATCTGAGAAAAGACTTACACAGAGTCAGGAATATCATGGTACAAACCCCTTTTATATTGCCCAAGATCGACGACTGGTAGCCAGCCAAAGTGTTTAATACCTAAAATAACTGTTTAATATTCCGAATAACTGTTTAATAGATTATAGATGATCTTTATACTTATAAAGTTTATTACATTTCTATTTCCTATTCCGCAGCAAATGAAGAAACTAGAGAATCTTGGCAACAGCTTCCATATGCGCGAATTTGAATCCTTGCAAAATGAGTGTCAAGCCTTGGATAAAAAAATTGAAGGTAAGAAATTTTTACTGATTCAATTTTTTTATTAATTTCGATTTACATTTTGCGCGCAGAACGCAATGCTGAATTGGTTCGGTCACGTGTGCGCTGCAATGCCGACTTACACATTTTGGGTCATCTAAAGGAGAAGCAAGCTATGATTCGTAGCAAGATAAAAATTCAAAAAACATGTCTAGCTATGTTGCAGTCACAAAAATATACTGCACGAAAATGTATTTTCGATTCCAAGAAGCAACGCTCACAAATGCGCATGGAAATCAAAGAACTGAGCTACCAATGCGGCTTACTCGATAAGCCGGCTCTTATGTTGGACTATGATAATACGGTGGAACAAATCAATATTGTCATGGAAAAAGTGGATAAACTACGAAATAAACACGATGAAATTCTACGTAAAATAGTAAAACTCGAAGCCAAATGTTTGTAAGCTCGTAACTGTGCATATTGCACCGACCTTAGATTAATCAATAAATGATTGCGAAATCATTTCAATGATTTTTAGTCAACGATTTTTTTTATTAGCAATTCGGAATGGTGTAAGTATAAAAGTATGCTAAACAAGACGATAAAACGACAGCAGTGCAGTGTCATCAGCATAGGTTGCCGTAATTATGGAGTCAAAGTTAATTACGAGGAGGTCAGCCGTGAGCACAGGCGCATAAACTCTGCCTTGAGGTACACCAGCGCGCATAAGTCTCAAATAGAATGTCCACTTTTGCAAGTAAGACTACAGCAGGTAGTAAGGCAAGGGAAGTTTTTCTTTAACTTATATGATAGACATTGTCAAATGTTGGAAAACAGCAGAACAGTATTTAAAATTTTCCATGGCATCGTTATAAAGTGTTCTTCTCTGTGGCATTGCTCAATTGTGCCATAAAACTTTCTGAAGCCAAACTGGTGAACCGTGATGAGTTGATTCTTGTTAGCCAACGATTTGATTTCCTCTTGTACTTCTACACCATCTATTTCAGCTGTAGCTCCATCTGACAAGCAAAGTCTAAAAAATCGCTGACTTCTGCATTGCTAAAATAGTCACTAAACTCGTTAGGGGTAAAGGTGTTTTGGAGATGTGTGGCAAACTCTGCTGTTTATAATTGGTGGGCATCTGGATATAGGCATTTTTTGTCTAGTCGCATTCCAAAGATTGTTTCTGGATCTCCTGGTTTGGCAGCATTCAGACTATAGGGACTTGTTGCGTAGTTACCAGAGAACCTCCTTCAGCTCCTTGAAAGCACGGTTCAGCTGAGTTTTGTCATAATTTCTTTCTCTGACTTGTCAAGCATGCCGGAGACGTCTCTTCTTTCTCAGCTTTGTCATTACTTCATTGGACCAGAGGTACCTGTCCCGCTTGTGGTTGCACTGAATCTAGCAACAGTCGCGTTCACGTGGGCAGCATTGTGAATACTTCTGGTCATGGCTTTTGCAGCATAGTCAATATCTGCCTCAGAGCAATTGGTGATATTGTAGGTCACGTTGTTTTCTAGCCATGTACGGCATTTCAAAATGTTTGCCCCTATGCCATGAACACCTCTGGGTTTGTTCATTACGAGGACCGGCATACTAACCTCGAGCTGAACTGCGCTATAGTCAGATTGGAGGTTCAGACAGGTGGAAGTGGTTTTTTAGTTTCTTTGAAGGAACGCTTACTGTTCGAAAGTCGACAACGAACGATTAACCGAATAGTCAAAAATGAGTGGTTAATCAAATAGACGACAACTTACGACTCCCCGGACAGTGCAAACCGAATTTTATTATTCCATTTATACCATATCCGATTAATCTGGTTACTCGATTACCAAGATTTCTAATATATATACATTGTATGGTAATTTTATTTTTTATACTCTCGCAACCTGTTGCTACAGAGTATAATAGTTTTGTTCACCTAACGGTTGTTTGTATCACCTAAACCTAATCGAGTTAGATATAGGGTTATATATATATAAATGATCAGGATGAAGAGACGAGTTGAAATCCGGGTGACTGTCTGTCCGTCCGTCCGTCTGTCCGTCCGTCTGTCCGTCTGTCCGTCCGTCCGTGCAAGCTCTAACTTGAGTAAAAATTGAGATATCTTTATGAAACTAGGTAGACATGTTTCATGGTACCGTGAGACGGTTGGTATTGCAGATGGGCGTAATCGGACCACTGCCACGCCCACAAAACGCCATTAATCAAAAACAAATAACTTGCCATAACTAAGCTCCGCAATAAGATACAAGACTGTTATTTGGTACACAGGATCACATTAAGGAGGGGCATCTGCAGTTAAAAATTTTTTTTTAAAAGTGGGCGTGGTCCCGCCTCTAATAGGTTTAATGTGCATATCTCCTAAACCGCTAATGCTATAATAACAAAATTCACTGGAAGCAAATGTTTTTAGCACTTCTATTGACGGTGTGAAAATAGTTGAAATCGGGTGGCAACTCCGCCCACTTCCCATATAACGGTACTGTTAAAAACTACTAAAAGCGCGATAAATCAAGCACTAAACACGCCAGAGACATTAAATTCTATCTCTGAGATGGTATAAGATGACTTTATAGGAACCGCGTTCAAAATTAGACAGTGGGCGTGGCACAGCCCACTTTTAGGTGAAAACCCATATCTTGAGATCTGCTTAACCGATTTCAACCAAATTCGGTGCATAACGTGCATCTTTTTATATTTCTATGTTATAGTGCGAAAATGGGCGAAATCGGATTACAACCACGCCTATTTTCCATATGACACCATTTTAAATACCACTTGATTCTTTCACTTTCCACTATGCAAATCAAGCAACAATGATTATATCGGCGTAAAACTTTGCGTGAATATTAAATAATACGTTTAAAGTATGCCACCTTGTGACCAAAAATTTTCTAAATCGAACCAAAACTGTTCAAGCCCCTAAGTACTAAATATGTGGACCCCAGTGCCTATAGTTGACCTTCTACCGAAAATATCAGTCAATCCACAAAGAAATCTCAAACGAGTATACCATTTGACTTTGCGAGAGTATAAAATGTTCGGTTACATCCGAACTTAGCCCTTCCTTACTTGTTATTTTATAAGTTCTTCGCTCAAGTAGCGCTAATAATCTCTTGTTTCCTGTCTCATTTTAATCAAAATAAATACGTTGAGCATGACACTTTAATTATTAGCACACACCAGCAGATTTTACTTTTGCCGTTATTGTTGTTTGTATTTATGGTATATTATATTGTATATTATTATTAATCTCACTAGATACACTGAATATCAATAATATTATATCAGTCAAATTATGATTTTATTACCTAATTAGCTTATTATTTTCTAGCATAGTTTGCAAATAAAACATATTCACAACAAAAAAATTGTTTAGCACATAACTGATATTTTATGTATTTCCTTAAATTTTTTCTAATTTTATGTTGCCAATAAAAGTGGCTAACTCGATGTATGAATTAAATTAGCATATAAATATGTAAGTAAATGGACCTAATGCACTATAAAATTTGCATATTCATGTATATAGTTTGTATTAAGCGCTTTTTGTGCTTTTAATCAATTAAACTTGTCTGTATACTTAGGCAAAATCACAAGTATAAAGGGTGCTTCAATTAGAGCCGGTCGATATTAAAAAGAAATAAAGCCTACTTTTCTAGAGAGTTGTATACAATTGTCAACAAAAATCCTATATGGAACCAATTTTTTTCCAGTTCATTCAAGATAATTCTAATTTTTATTATGCAAAATCTAATTTTTCCGCTAAATATATAGATATTATACTTGTAAAGTATATAATATTATATATACTATATCAGTTTGTCATAAGTACTAGCGTCGCCAGTGGTCGAAATTCAACCAATAGAAAATACAATTTATTAACAATGTATTTAAGAATTTGAACCATATGTAAACAAAATCTAAAGAAAGTTGTAGAAAACAATTAACAAAAATAAATTTAAAAAAAAATTTAATTTATAATTCAGTTTTGCAACACGCAAAGTGCAAACACAATTAAAAGTAGAAAAAAATCACAACCACAAATCCGCCGTAAACGATACACAATTATCCGATATATGTATTTGCACTTTATACAGAACAGCGACGAAATGTACTTCTGTATACGACTGTATTAAGTGTGACGCGCAAAGGAGAAATAACATCGACCAATGAAAACGCGCCATCGCGTTTGTAGTTGTTGTAGTCGCTAAATTGGAGCAACGCATTGTTACCTTTGTTCCCGTAGACGTATATGCAAAAAACACTAATGCTCTGCACTACTGCACGTCTTCTCCTTTCCAACGGTATAAATTCTATCCATATATGTCAACTTCAACACAGTAAAAAAGGAGACACAAACTTTTTTTTTTTTGTAGCGTAATTATATATACAATAGATATGCCTTATCGAAATGCTTTAAATAAGCGCGAGTAGTGGTGTGGTAGTGTATTGGATTAGTGAGATTTCAAATATAATGTAATTCGTGAAAATTTATACGTCAGGTTACATGTATTTTATTTATTACTTAATTTTATATACAATATCAAATCTTCACAGACTGATATGCAATCAACCAGTCCATTTAGTAAACTCAAATCTTTGTACCATATCCATATATATATTTCTTATACTTTAATAATATTATGATACATCACAATATTATACTTTCTGCTAATAAACACGTAATTCCAGTGGCAAAATCGTTTAATGCTGGAAAAGACGTGATATAAAAAAGGAATAAAAATACTTCCAAACTGTCAGCAATATGTGAGTATATGTACATACATACAAAAACTGCCAATACATCATATAATGTGTCTGGCAAACTGGCCTGCGAAAGAACATCCGATATACCGTTGTTATGACGAGTGTGATGACAATTTTATTTCGGTTATTTCGTTTATGATGAAAAGGAAATGACGGCCAGTCACAAAGGCAAGTACCTAGCGAGAATATTCTAGAGGATTTTTGTTTAGTTCGATTTCTTTGATTTCAACTTCAAGCAGCATGGAGTTTTACAAAGATACATACCGAAAATTGTAATAAGAGATGTAAACCATAGGTAATTTATAGTTTTGTAATATAGAAAAGGTTCAAATTTGATAACGAAAATATTTGTTTTATTTGAAATTATATGTTATAAGTTCAGACTTCACTACGTGGTATTTACTTACAGACAGATATGCTAATGTTTGGCAAATACTTCCGTCGGTCAAGCAAAAACGGTAATACATAAATTGCAAAATTTCCATCGCTTATCATCTGTTTAGTATTCACACGCATCCGGTTGTGTTGGCAATATACCCACTTTACCATATAATTTAGTATGGGTAAGCCATTGAATTGAGAGATGCACAATGTGTGCAGAGAGTTGAATTTGATAATCCAGATATAATCGCATAATAATAACTGAATATATTTACACATTAATACATACATACATACATACAGACATATATATATATATACAGAAATACATGTACGTATTTTTCACTGCAACGTCCATATGTGTCTCTTCAGCACACTTGAGCTTCAA